ATTTCACTCCATAGGGCAGTGTTCCTGGCTGCTAACACCGATCACTGGTGTGCAGTACCAGCCAGCCAGATGATCAACTGCAGCCAACTCCAGCTGGCTGAGTGTCAGGAAGAGCAGAAGAGCTACAGTATTCCCTATGAGATTGATGATGATGGAAACAAAGTCTACTCCTCGTGTGAGCGGTATGCCATGAATGATGAAGACGTTGGTAGAAACACAGGTTTTAATTCAACGGACGTCGTCTCCTGCGATGCTGGCTAAGAATTTGATCACTCGAGCTACAAGTCCACCATTAATGAAGATTTCAGCTTGGTCTGTGACAGACAGGATCTACCTGCCTATGCCCAGTCAGTTTGGTTTGCAGGACTGCTAGTTGGTTCCTTGGTGTGGGGTTCTGTGGGTGACTGGATTGGTAGGAGAAAGACCTTTATTTTAAATGTCATTCTTGTCACAATTTCATCGACTGTTACATCTTTTGTGCCCAACTTTACTGCCTACGCTGCCATGCGCTTCTTTACAGCAGCCTGTGCTTATGGTGGAAATCTCATGATATATGTCTTAGCTTCTGAAATAGTTGGTCCTAAAAATCGTGTAGGTACAACAACTGTGCTATTTCTAGCCTTTGCTGTAGGTTACATGATTCTGTCCCTTCTGGCATTCCTTCTGAGAGACTGGCGCCTCCTACAGTTAGCTATATCACTCCCTTTCGTCCTGACTTTTCTTGTGATCATTGTGTTCCCTGAATCTCCTCGCTGGCTGATAACAAAAGGCAGATACAAAGAAGCTACCAAAATCATTGAAAAGATAGCTAAAGTGAATGGTACCGAGGCTCCAGAAGACTTACTGGACAAACTGAGTGAAGACAGCAACGAAGACAAGAAGCAACCTTCTTGCATCCCTGTCACCCAACTTGATCTGATCCGCACTCCCAACCTCCGCAAGAAAACTCTCATCCGTTGGGTTGACTGGTTTGTTGTCAACATGGTGTATTACGGACTATCTCTGAGTACCTCTGCCTTGGGGGTAGATGATTACCTTGCTGCCTTTGTCTCTGGAGCCATAGAGATACCTAGCTATCTTTTCTGTTGGTACGTGATGGACCGTTTTGGCAGACGCATTACCCTGGTTGCCTTCTACATCTTTGGTGGAGTGTTTTGCCTCATTACAATCTTCATTCCTCTTGGAGCTGCCAGAGCTGCAGTTGACATGTTCGGCAAATTTGCAATCAGTGCAGCATTCGGTCACATCTACATCTACTCTCTTGAAATCTATCCAACCATCATCCGGAGTATCGGCATGGGTACATCTTCCATGATGGCTCGTGTTAGTGGCATCCTCTGTCCTATCATCTTGATCCTGGGCAAGTACTGGAAACCACTACCTCTCTGTGTCTTTGGAGGAAGCGCCATCATTGCTGGAGTCCTGTCTCTGATACTCCCAGAGACCATGGGATACAGTCTGCCTGATACCATTCAGGATGGAGAGAACTTTGGCAGTAAGTTTTACAATCATTTACTCTCCTATCACTTTTTCTCATCGTTTGCTTGGGCTGAGGTTTGGAAGTGGCATTCCCATGCTATTTCATCCCGAATAATAGATTCCTTTTCTAAATTGCTATTTTTCGAGCACTTCAAAAGTTATTCACTTGTGAATGAGAAATTGACCCCCAAAAGATCAGCCAATATAATTAGTTACTGAATTATCACTGGTTCCCGCCCCACAATCAGTATCAATCAATATATGTGCCGACCGCGAGCCAGTCTGCTTTCCAAGTGGATCTGTCTGTGCCCGAAACAAAACAAAACACTTTCAGAGGTTTGGAGAAGAGGTTTTTTTTGGTTGGAATAACATGTGCGAGTTGATCATTGTCCATAAAAAAAAAAATGTGCCACAGTTCCTTAATGTGCTACAATTTTTCAACTACAGCACATTTTTCTTGTTTACTTTCTGGTATAACAGAGGGAAGAAGCTTCCAGCTTTGCGTCAAGGGCAATGATGATGGAGAGAATGAGAGTCCCACTCAAGCTCCTATCGACTACCTGCCACTATCCACAATGGATCAAACTCCCAAGCAACCTGTGGATGTCTGAATACAGGTGCGGATCCAGGATTTCTTTAGACAGGGGGCACACCTTTGGAGCAACTAATGTGAGCGCGGGGCGCGAAGCCCTTACGGCACTGGGTCTGGGGCCCGCTTAAGAACCCCGAAAAATTTTGGATTCTAGATGATCTGTGCTGCAATCTGAGGCGATTCCTGGCCCCTTTCCCTTGAATTATTTGAGCAAAATTTTATTAGATCATAAGGATTGTTATAAATATACTCTTGCTTTACAAATTGTAAGTTACTGGTGTACGTACTTCAAAGTTGAAAACCATGTATTTTCGTCTTCATATTTTCTTGCATTTTATTTTTGGTAAAGGAATTGTATTGACTTAGTTTGTAAACTGTTGCAGCGATGCGTTGGGGCATTTGCTCTGAGGACTATATGCGAGCGCATATCACAAATGTCTTACGGTGTGGGGTCCAGGCCCACTGAAGGGCCCCAGAATATTTGGATTCTAGATGCTCTGTGGTGCAATCTCAGGCGATTCCTGGCCCCTTTTCCCTTAGCCCCAAGTTATTTGAGCAAAATTTTTAAGATTATAACGAAATTTTAATTGGTTTAAAATATACTCTTGCTTTTGTATGTCTTTTAAGTTTCATCGGTTCTTCACTTGATAACCATGTATTTTCGTCTGCATAATTATGTTCTTGCAATTCATTTTTGAAAGTGAATTATATAGAGTTAGTTTGTCAACTGTTGCAACAATGCGAAGGGACATCTGCCTCGAGGACAAAAGCGGAGCGCGAATGTCATACGTTGTGTGGTCCGGGGACTGCTTAAGGGCCCCAGGAAACTTTGGATTCTAAATGCTCTGTGGTAAAATCTGAGCGATTCCTGGCCCCTCTTTCCCTGATTTATTTGAGCAAAATGTTTCAAGATTATGAGATTTTTTTTATTGGTTTAAAAATACTCTTGCTTTTACAAGCCTTTTAAGTTTCTTCTGTATCTCATTTGATAACCATGTATTTTCGTCTGCATAATTATTTTCGTGCATTTTATTTTTGAAAAGCAATTCTATAGACTTTGTAAACTGTTGCAAGGATGCTTTGCTTTCTAATGTTGTGTTTCAAGTAGAAATTTTCAGTTTATCAATAAGAACAAACTGCTTGAACATGTAAATTGAATTCAACTTTCAAATTAGTGTAATTTAATCAAATTAAAACAGAGGAGCAATTAGGCCTCCATGCACATTGTAAATTCACAGCTCAGATTTATTTCATGACTAATCTCATGCATGCATAATGTAATTGCCCAAACATTTTACAGAAATGTCCTTGGTTTTAATTTCAGTCTAGTTTCGATTTCAATGAATAGGGCCTATACAGGTACATGTATTTGTAAATAAACCATCGGCACAGCAAGACAAATTGTATAACACAATCATCACAGTTCCTATACATGCAACTGGTCTCTTACCAAAAAAATGGTCATCTTGCCTTTTGGCCCCATGATTGCAATTCCCACATGGTACGACACATTTTGAAGGTGGATACGTCATTTGGTTATGTAAAAAAATACAGGCTTGTCCGCAAAGTTGCGGAAAAGCCACAAAAAAAAAATCTCCTTGGCACAACACTCGTACCGTGTGATTTCGAATATTTTGTTCGTACTCTGCAGTCGTATAAACTCTTGCATCGAATGTTTGTTGAATCAAATAAGTTGTAGAGTCTCTAATATTTGAAAATTTGCCAATGAATGACGGTATGTTTTTGCCTAGTTCCGGATCGCACGTGCAAGTAGGAACTACACGCGCAGTAATTGATTTTATGTGACGTATTCTGTGATGGGTCAAAGGTTACGGTCGGTGCATGTTCGGGCCGTCGCGCTGCAGACAAAAGTTCAAAAATCATTTACATTAATTCTCTTCAATTTTTGCTGGAATTCTCTTGCGTGATTTTGTTTTCTCGAGCAAAGCAGTTTTTGATCGATTCAGAACTGATTGAACTGATCCAGAAATAGGAAAAGTGGCATCTGTACTTTTGACGTCGCAAAGTAAAAATTAAAACAGCTTGAATTTGAAAAAATATTTTGTAGTATCTCCATCACTCAAGGCAAACTTTTTAATCAATGTTACTTGAATTTGTGAATCAGTTGAGCCGAAAACAGCTTGAACGATGTTTGCTATCCGGAATGGGAAAACGACTGTACGATCAAATTTTCCTCACTTGAACTTCAGAAAGCAACACACTGCGTTCCATCTAGCTTGCCAGAGCACGTCTTGAGTGCTCAATCTTGCCTTTTGTCAATAACTGCTTACTGTTTTTGTCTTAAGAACAAAAGGGCCTGTCACATTATATGCGCTCCCTAGGAGACTTTACGGCGACCAAAAATATTAAATTAATTTCACAATCGCAGCGAGGATGCAAGAAAACAACAATGATCTCTAGTGTCCCCTACATGACCTCTGACCTCAACCTCCCAGAGAAGAATTGTCTCTTGCCACCCAAAGCCCACTGCTTCAAAGTTTCATCAGGATCCATCACAGCATGTACAATGTTACAAAGGTTCTTCAAAAACTCAACCTAAAACTTCTATGAATTAATCAATTATTGACCTCAGCTGACCTTTGACACACGACCTTCCCCCTGAAAAATACCCCACATCATCTTCGACACTCAGTGACCCTTGCGTCCAAGTTTTCTGGAATTCAGTCAGATACTTGGGAATGAAAGTAATTTGAAAAACCTGAACACGGCCATACGCGCATACAGTCCTATACAGAATTGAGTGACACAAAAAGCCTAGCTCTGTAAGAGGTCACAAAAGTGGTTAAATATGTGTATTGATATATTCTTTGTGCTTTCAATGCTTTCATAGACTACTGTACATAAAGCACAGCCTTTATGCTTGATGGGGTGACAACAATACACATACTCTGCTTGAGCAATGCACAGGTCCTATTCACAGATTGGATTCATGGGTTAAAAGGGCAGTAGTTCATTTTGCCTGAGGAAATTAACACATCCTTCCGCATGCATCAGCTCAGCTCAAACTTTTCATGCTGACACACTGATCAAGTACTGAAGAATTCAACATGCATTACGAGGACATTTTGAATCATATCGGGCCTTTTGGCAAGTACCAGAAACTGCTGGTGTTTGCCTTGTTTTTGGTTTTTATTCCACCTCCCTTTCACTTCATAGGGCAGGTGTTCCTGGCTGCTAACACCGATCACTGGTGTGCAGTACCAGCCAGCCAGATGATCAACTGCAGCCAACTCCAGCTGGCTGAGTGTCAGGAAGAGCAGAAGAGCTACAGTATTCCCTATGAGATTGATGATGATAAAAACAAAGTCTACTCCTCGTGTGAGCGGTATGTCATGAATGATGAAGACGTTGGTAGAAACATGAGTTTTAATTCAACGGACGTCATCTCCTGCGATGCTGGCTGGAAATTTGATCACTCGAGCTACAAGTCCACCATCAACGAAGATTTCAGCTTGGTCTGTGACAGACAGGATCTACCTGCCTATGCCCAGTCAGTTTGGTTTGCAGGATTGCTGGTTGGTTCCTTAGTGTGGGGTTCTGTGGGTGACTGGATTGGTAGGAGAAGGACCTTTATTTTAACTGTCATTCTTGTCACAATTTCATCGACTGTTACATCTTTTGTGCCCAACTTTACTGCCTACGCTGCCATGCGCTTCGTTACAGCAGCCTGTGCTTATGGTGGAAGTCTCATGATATATGTCTTAGCTTCTGAAATAGTTGGTCGTAAAAATCGTGTAGGTACAACAACTGTGCTTTTTTCTGCCTTTTCTGTGGGTTACATGATTCTGTCCCTTTTGGCATATCTTCTGAGAGAATGGCGCCACCTACAGTTAGCTATATCACTCCCCTTCGTCCTGACTTTACTTGCGATCATTGTGTTCCCTGAATCTCCTCGCTGGCTAATAACAAAAGGCAGATACAAAGAAGCTACCAAAATCATTGAAAAGATGGCTAAAGTGAATGGTACCGAGGCTCCAGAAGACTTACTGGACAAACTGAGTGAAGACAGCAAAGAAGACAAGAAGCAGCCTTCTCGCATCCCTGTCACCCAACTTGATCTGATCCGCACTCCCAACCTCCGCAAGAAAACTCTCATCCTTTGGGTTGACTGGTTTGTTGTCAACATGGTGTATTATGGACTATCTCTGAGTACCTCTGCCTTGGGGCTAGATGATTACCTTGCTGCCTTTGTCTCTGGTGCCATAGAGATACCCAGCTATCTTTTCTGTTGGTATATGATGGACCGTTTTGGCAGACGCATAACCCTAGTTGGTTTCTACATCTTTGGTGGAGTGTTTTCCCTCATTACAATCTTCATTCCTCTTGGAGCTGCCAGAGCTGCAGTAGCCATGGTGGGCAAATTCGCAATCAGTGCAGCCTTCGTTCACATCTACATCTACACTCTTGAAATCTATCCAACAATCATCCGGAGCGTCGGCATGGGTACATCTTCCATGGTGGCTCGTGTTAGTGGCATCCTCTCTCCTATCATCTTGATCCTCGGCAAGTACTGGGAACCACTGCCTCTCTGTGTCTTTGGAGGAAGCGCCATCATTGCTGGAGTCCTGTCTCTGATGCTCCCAGAGACCATGGGATACAGTCTGCCTGATACCATTCAGGATGGAGAGAACTTCGGCAGTAAGTCATACAATCATTTACTCTTCTATCACTTTTTCTCATCCTTTGCTTAGTCCGAAGGTCTTAACCCTCCTCGTGAGAAGTCAATATCAGGAGCAATATGTAAAACCCTTCAAACCCTCCAGTTCACTTTCAGATGAAGAGATATGAAGTGTTAAAGTAACTGTGTCACCCAGTCACTGCACAAAAACAGCACTGTGGAGAGCAGTGAAGAGTGACTGAATCTTCCCGCTTGCCCTGATCTTAACCATACAAAGGAATTGTGCAAGGAGTTTAAGTGCTGTCCATACCCCACAGAAGATTACCTCAAAAGACATTTGAAGTGTGGATGATAACTCTATTGGGAAAAATGGTTTGGCAAACTTGCAGAAGAGTAGGAAGGTTAATGGTGTCCATTTTTTAAAAAAAAACAAGAAAATAATGATGACTAGATTCATTCTACGAAGACTTACAAGTTTCTTAATGCGTAAGTTTGTCTCATTTACTTTCTGGTATAACAGAGGGAAGAAGCTTCCAGCTTTGCGTTGAGGGCAATGATGATGGAGAGAATGACAGTCCCGCTCAAGCTCCTAAAGACTACCTGCCTCTATCTACAATGGATCAAACTGTCAAGCAGCCTGTGGATGTCTGAATGATTTAAATTGTGGAATTCAATAATTTTTTTGTGCTTGCTTCATATTGTCGGGTGCGTGGAAGAAGGTCTTTAGGGCGAACAATGGATCAAAGGTTAAATTCAGATTTTTTGGGTTATGGATAGAGCATGGAAATATCTTCATATGATATACGTTTTGTCTCAAAGGGCTACATCATACTGACTTAATTAACAATAAACAAAAGTCGTAAGGAGGTTTTTCATTATTTGTTCCCCGGCAAAAGGTCGGTAGCGTGTAATTCTAATGTCACAAAATATGTTCCAAGTGCAAAGCCAAGTTTGTTCTCAGCAAAAGGTCATTGTGATTTAACATGCCGCTTAAGAACATGTTTAAGGCAGATGAAGTTCCCGGAAAAGGTCGTAAGCAATAAAATTGAATTAACTTCAAAATGACGTAATATTTTGAAAGAAATATGCACAATATTATTGTAATTATAAACTACTTTCATGCGTCCAAACTTCAGCCTTATGTGATTTTTAATTTAGAAATGGGAGCGCAAAACCTTTCAACTTGATTATCTCCACAAGTGCTTTTTGCGTGCCTGAGCTACTTACGACCTTTTCCTTGGCACACGACAATATATGGTTTGTTTCAGTATTTTAAATATTTTTAAAAATTATATTGGATCATTTTAAAATAGATAACAGTTTAGTTTCCAGTTTCTGTAGCTTGCTTATTCTTCTTTTAATTCCAAACAAACATTATATTGCAAGGGAGATATACGACCGATATTGTGCTGGTTATTTTCCAACAAAAACAGGTTGATTTAAAAATTGTAGTCTAGTTGTTTCCACTTTCAGTAAAAAAAATAAGCATACAGTAAAAATGTTCCAGTTTAATTTCTTAGTTGAGATCATTATGTATCAATTTATAACTTAGTAGCCGAAACCAAACGTAATAATATTTAATCTAAAACATATTGGGAAAGCATTTTATGGTTAATATATATTTTTTTAGAGTTGCGTAGCCTATGCTCTTGAACAAAATCCATTTATTTCTCTTAATCAATTTACAACTTGTATGTTTTGATCCAACAAAAAGAATCCTCATTTTTTCGGTTTTTGGAGGTCTGCAACCTTCTGAATAAAAAATGGTTTATTTTTAGGCACGAATAGATCAGCTTTGCGAGCAGACTGGCTCCTGGTCCTTAATAATTAATCCAAAACATATTGGGAGAGCATGTTATGGTCAATATTCTTTGAGAGTTGCGTACCCCATGCTCTTCAATTTTCAACTTGTGTGTTTTAATCCAAGAACAAAACAAACACCTATCTTTTTCCTTTTTGGTTGTCTGCAACCTTCGGGAAAAAATGTTTATTTTGGGCACAAACAGATCAGCTTGGCGTGCAGACTGGCTCCTGGTCCGTACATTATTGATACTGATTGTGGGGTAGGACCAGCCCACCGAGCAAGATCAGAATTATTGTCTGGCAGCTAATAACTCAAAATTTGAAAAGTAATAATTCAATAAACAAACATGGGCCAATTTGTTCAGTTGATGCCTCATTCAAAAGTGAATTAGAAAATTAAAAATTTGGAAAAGAAATGTATTTTTCAGGATAAAATTCCAAAATAGCATGGGTAAAGCAATTTAAACTACATATCATATGTGCAGGTATATTATTTGGGACACACAAACGTTTGTGGAAAAGCTAATTTTTTATTTTCTTTTTTGGTTAATGTGAACCTGACAGTTGTGAATATGGGTAGTTTGAAAATGATTGAATAAATTATTTGACGAACTGAGAAAGTGATAGACAAAAAAAAGTTATTTTTGAATTTTCACTCAATATACTTGATATATATTTTTACAGAATTTACTAATATGTTGCTGCTAAAAAAATTCTGTTGCAAACACTGGGGAAATTTGTTTTAGCAGGTTTTATTGGTGGGAGTTAAAAGCCTGTACGTTTTCAATTATTATTATTAAAAACAAATTTATTACATTTTTCTGCCAAAAAAAAGTTGTTTTCTCCATTGAATGAATGCATGAACTACAAGTGATACCCAGAACACTTGTGTCGCATTTTTCCCCTACATGACCTTTTCCCCCTACAGCTCTGTAGGAGGTCACAAAAGATGTTAGCACACTCATCCTGCACAGACAAATAGTATAGAAAGATTTTATATACATTTGTCCTTCAAATGACAGTACACTGACCACAGCCTTTTATGCTTGAGAGATATAGGCCTAATACCCAGACAACAATATACTCTGGTTCAACAATGCCATACAGGTCCTATACACAGATTGCATTCAAAAGGTAACGGTAACTGTAATTGGTTTAGACTTTAAAGGAAAAACACTTCTCCAAATGCAACAGCTCAGCTCTCACTTTTAATGCACGACTCTTGCCAACACATTGGTCAAGTACTGAAGAATTCAACATGCATTACGAGGACATTTTGAATCATATCGGGCCTTTTTGCAAGTACCAGAAACTGCTGGTGTTTGCCTTGTTTATGGTTAAGATTCCAACCGCATTTCACTCCATAGGGCAGGTGTTCCTGGCTGCTAACACCGATCACTGGTGTGCAGTACCAGCCAGCCAGATGATCAACTGCAGCCAACTCCAGCTGGCAGAGTGTCAAGAAGAGCAGAAGAGCTACAGTATTCCCTATGAGATTGATGATGATGGAAACAAAGTCTACTCCTCGTGTGAGCGGTATGTCATGAATGATGAAGACGTTGGTAGAAACATGAGTTTTAATTCAACGGACGTCATCTCCTGTGATGCTGGCTGGAAATTTGATCACTCGAGCTACAAGTCCACCATCAACGAAGATTTCAGCTTGGTCTGTGACAGACAGGATCTACCTGCCTATGCCCAGTCAGTTTGGTTTGCAGGACTGCTAGTTGGTTCCTTGGTGTGGGGTTCTGTGGGTGACTGGATTGGTAGGAGAAAGACCTTTATTTTAAATGTCATTCTTGTCACAATTTCATCGACTGTTACATCTTTTGTGCCCAACTTTACTGCCTACACTGCCATGCGCTTCTTTACAGCAGCCTGTGCATACGGTATATATCTCATGATATACGTCTTAGCTTCTGAAATAGTTGGTCGTAAAAATCGTGTAGGTGCAACAACTGTGCTATTTCTAGCCTTTGCTGTAGGTTACATGATTCTGTCCCTTCTGGCATTCCTTCTGAAAGAATGGCGCCACCTACAGTTAGCTATATCACTCCCTTTCGTCCTGACTTTTCTTGTGATCATTGTGTTCCCTGAATCTCCTCGCTGGCTGATAACCCAAGGCAGATACAAAGAAGCTACCAAAATCATTGAAAAGATAGCTAAAGTGAATGGTACCGAGGCTCCAGAAGACTTACTGGACAAACTGAGTGAAGAAAGCAAAGAAGACAAGAAGCAGCCTTCTCGCATCCCTGTCACCCAACTTGATCTGATCCGCACTCCCAACCTCCGCAAGAAAACTCTCATCCTTTGGGTTGACTGGTTTGTTGCCAACATGGTATATTACGGACTATCTCTGAGTACCTCTGCCTTGGGGGTAGATGATTACCTTGCTGCCTTTGTCTCTGGTGCCATAGAGATACCCAGCTATCTTTTCTGTTGGTATATGATGGACCGTTTTGGCAGACGCATAACCCTAGTTGCCTTCTACATCTTTGGTGGAGTGTTTTGCCTCATTACAATCTTCATTCCTCTTGGAGCTGCCAGAGCTGCAGTTGCCATGTTCGGCAAATTTGCAATCAGTGCAGCATTCGTTCACATCTACATCTACTCTCTTGAAATCTATCCAACCATCATCCAGAGTATCGGCATGGGTACATCTTCCATGATGGCTCGTGTTAGTGGCATCCTCTGTCCTATCATCTTGATCCTGGGCAAGTACTGGAAACCACTACCTCTCTGTGTCTTTGGAGGAAGCGCCATCATTGCTGGAGTCTTGTCTCTGATGCTCCCAGAGACCATGGGATACAGTCTGCCTGATACCATTCAGGATGGAGAGAACTTCGGCAGTAAGTCATACAATCATTTACTCTCCTATCACTTTTTCTCATCCTTTGCTTGGTCTGAGGTTTGAAAGCGGCATTCCCCGTGCTATTTCATCCCGAATAATAGATTCCTTTTCTAAAGTGCTATTTTTCTAGCACTTCAAAAGTTATTCACTGGTGAATGAGAAATCGACCCCCAAAAGATCAGCCAATATAATTAGTTACTGAATTATTACTGGTTCCCGCCCAACAATCAATATCAAAATATGTGCGGACCGCAAGCAAGTCTGCTTTCCAAGTGGATCCGTCTGTGCCCGAAACAAAACAAAACACTTTCAGAGAATTGGAGACTTCTAAAAAAAGGGGAAAAGAGGGTTTTTTGGTTTGAAGAAAACATACGAGTTGAAAATTATTAATAAAAAAAAAAAATTATTTATTGCAGAGCATGGGGAACGCAACTTTCATCGAATGTACTCTCTGAAAAGACCCTAAATGTGCCACAGTTCCTAAATGTGCCACAATTTTTCAACTACAGCAAGTTTGTCTTGTTTACTTTCTGGTATAACAGAGGGAAGAAGCTTCCAGCTTTGCGTCAAGGGCAATGATGATGGAGAGGATGAGAGTCCCACTCAAGCTCCTATCGACTACCTGCCACTACCCACAATGGATCAAACTCCAAAACAAACTGTGGATGTCTGAATGGTTTAAAATATTGTGTTGTTTTAACTTGATACATATATGGTTGGTTTATGCATTTATACTATTTCTTAAAAATTATTTTGGATATTTTTAAAAGGGAAAATGGTTTGAAGTTGTGATTTTGTGTAGCTTGCTTATACAGGGTGAGTAAAAAAACTAAAACCTTAATGTCGGGACTTGGGACTATTGTTTTAGTTAAGTTATGCATGTAGCACTTTTAAAATCTGTGTATTCTTTTAGCAAAACGAAATCAATTCACACATATGTGATTTGTTTTCGTTTTGCTGAAAGAACACTTACCTATTTGTGATCCATGGACAGAACTTTAAAAAAGTGGTTGTGTTTAAAATTCCGTAACTTGAAAAATTCTTGAGTCATTTGATTGATTCTTGTACTAAAAGAAAGCTTATGAATTAGGCTTTCATATCCTAGATTTTGAAAGCGCTACATGGAGAACTTCACTAAAACAACGGTCATGACATTTGGGTTTTATTTTTTAAACTCACCCTGTATATTTTTTTTCTCCAAACTAACATGGTATTTTAAGGGCGATAAGTGACCTGTATTATGCTGGTAATTTTCTAAAAAAAATTGTCTGATTGAAAATTGTTGTCTAGATGTTTCCAAGCTGTAAGCAAAATATAAACGTACTGTGAAAAGGCTAAAGCTGAATTTCTTAGTTGAGATTGTTTTGTATTTATAACTTAGTGGCCAAAGCCAAACACAAAATAATTAATCCAAAAAATATTGGGAAAGCATTTTATGGTTGAGGATGCTTGAGGCTATTATGCACTTACAGTCAAGTACATGTAAGGTATTTCATATTCCACTGTAGTTTATTTTTATGTTTGCAAATATTTTTATGTTTGCAAATATTGTATACAATTACCTTTCATCTCCATATGTACAGGTATTAGGGACCAGCAACAATTGTGGAAAATCTTTTGTTTTCTCCTTTTTTTGTAGTTTATTAAAAAATTAAAAATTTAATTATATAATTAAAAAAAAAAAAATAAGTATAAGTATAAGTAGTTGATGAACTGAGCAAAACGTTAACAGGCAAAAATTAATTTTTACAGAAGACTATTGTCGCTGCAAATTGTTGGCTAACTAAATTTGGTAAATTAGGGGCAGTGTTTGAAACAAGTCATTTTTTTTCCAACGATTGTCGACCGACCATCGTTGGAAATTGATACAAAAATTCCACTTTTCTTGAAAATGACAGCACACCAGGTGCCATGATTTCCATTGGATGCTTGAGGCTATTATTCACTAACAGTCAAGTAAGGTATTCCATAATTCAACTGTAGTATTTTTTTTTATGCTTGCAAATATTGCAAAAATTGTGGAAATTTGTTTGCTTCTTTTCATTCAGTAGTTAATGAGTACTTTGATGGTTTTAGTTATATGGGTAATTAAAGTTAAAAAAAATGAACGAATTAGTTGATGAACTGAGCACATTATTTTTTTTTGAATTTTCACTCAATATATTTTTACAGAAGACTATTTTCGCTGCTGAAAAATTCTACAACAAATGCGGGGGCAAATTTTGAATTGTAGTAAAACCTTTTTATGGGAGTTGAAGGCCTTTACACTTTTAATCCCATCAATCCTAAGATCAGATTTGAAGGTTTGCATGGTGGAAAGATACTAAGACAAGATGAGTTTGCGGTAGCACCATGTGAATAAATCTCTTAATTGTGAGTATGTGTGGTTCTGAAAAGAACCGGAGGGACTCTAATCCTAAGATCCTACACTGTCTGTCTTAGCTGTCTGCCTGTGTGTCACAATGCTTTGGCAAAAGGCCTAATAATAAGGAGTGTCAGGAGGCACGCACAAAATGAAGGGCTAATGGGGAGGTATCCTGTGTATACAGGTCTCATGCTTTGATTTCACTGTCCTCTGAAGACACGGTAGTCTATGTAATAGGAATGCCGTGGTCTATTATGTGCGAACAGATTTGATGATTAATTAGGCAAGACCCCGCCTCTTGACTTCCTAGATTTTGACCAATCAGCAGGTGCTTTCGATAGGTCTATCGGGTCTTCGGTCATTCACCCGTTGCGCGTCATAGACATGGATTTAAAAAAAAAATGTAAAGGCGAGCGGCGCTCGGTATCATGTTACGCGAATGTGCTCCCGGCTGTTGTTGTATTACAAAACGCTGCATTCGAATTGACCAATCACAGCATTAGTCCTGATATTGGGATGAAATGACGTCACGATTTAGTAAAGTCGACTCCGATTGGCTGGCGCGCGGCTTGCATAAATCTGCATGCTTTGACATATCAGACGTTAGACAAGAGATGGCTCCGTGGATAACGGGTGATACTCAGACTAAAGACACGGTTGGCACTGGGAAAAAAAAAATTGTTTCGTTTTCCTTGTTTGGCTAATTTCTTTCTTTGACACTTTGAATAGTGAAATAGTACAACATTATCTCTATGAAAACCATCCAAAAACGTTTCGCTATTACGCAAAACATAGCGTTGATGATGAAATATGTGGCACAATTGCTTCACCAAGGTTTACCACACCCATTTGGGCTCAACATGCAAATGAAGGTCAAAGTAATACTTTAGTATATAACCCTTCAACCGTTGATCTTACGAATTTATACGATATGAAAATGCATTTCGAAAACCTGACTGCACCTCAATTGAGGGCTTTACGACTCAACTCGGCTAGCAGGTGCCGCGTTAAGCACGTCATCATGCTAGTAATTATAAAACGAACAAATTCTTGAAAAGCAAATGATTCTACGTGTCTTTACTGTCGGTAACAACTACACGCCTAACCATTTCAAGGGTAATGTGAAATGCATGAAGCACCTTGAGCTCTGAGAAATACAACATTGATAGCACCACATAGGGTACATGCATCATGTGAGCGAGCCCTCTTGTGTCATGCGAACAAAACCTTCCAAATAATTTTTTGCATTTTAACCCTAACTCCCTATAGGCATGTGAACATTGCATACAGCCTCAATCTTGCAAAATCCTCTGTTCTTTCTTGAATGTGGTCCCCAGGAAGGGGGATGACCACTGCCTCATCAATCCTGCAAAACCCTCCAGCAATCACTGTCAATACGTTGAGGCAGAGCCAGTGACAGCCTGGAGCAGTGCGGAGGATTTCAAGTATAATCCGGGCCTACATGTAAATTAGCATAAACAACACAAGGTCGGCCCAAGATCTTGACACAGTGCATCCTCCAAAATCAGCCACACAATTTTGCCATACCCTCAATCCTGCAAAATCCTCCGTTTTGCAAAGAGGATTTGGGAGGATTTGGGAAGGTTAGGGTATAAGCATTTATGATGGGGGGGGGGGGCAACAAGGCACACACAGCCTGCAAGGTTCCACATATTTGGCTACAGAAGTCGGTTGTCCACTGGTCAGTGGAGCGCTGACTAACAATAATTCTTATGCAAACCAGTGCCCAATTTCATAGCACAGCTTAAGTTAGCAGAAATGTTGTGCTTACTAGAGCAGAAAATCGTGCTGCTTCCTAAGCGCTTCGTCCCTACAACTCAGTCCTAATTTGCCTAACAACAACAATTTCCCATAAGGTGGTGACGGCCTGCTCACACATACACACAAGTACTGTTCGCTAATCAGTTTTTGACAACGTACATTACCATCAGTGCAGAATTTGTCTACTATGGGATCGTTCCCTTTGCTATTAAAGCATAGCAGTGGAAAGTAAGAGAAAAATTCCAAGCATTCAAAGTTTTGCAAAATTCCCTATACTATAGACATGCAGACAGCAAGCTAGATTTTCAAGCACGGTACAATGCAATGCAATGCAATGGGATAATATTTGGGAAGCTCTAGGCAAGCAGCAGGCCAAGCATTCATCATCATGAGGACAGACACTGGTTGACTGGTACTTACTTCGCATCCTTTGCCACAGTTATCCCCGGTTCCACAACATGACTACACATACAGGTGTCAAGGGGGATGGAATAAAGAAGACGCTGATGTGTTACTTTGGGAAAGCGCATGAATATTTATTGTTATATCGTGCCTTGGATACCGCAATTTTTAAAGGTCTCGAAAAGCCACGTGTCTGGTATATAAATATGACTGTTGATATCATATACACTGCTATCCATAGAAGTGATTTCATATACATGTACACCTTGTTGCATATACAGGGTGGATAAAAAAACCGAAACCGAGATATTATTGCTAATTGGACCAGAAGTAGGGCACATGTGAATCAAGGGAGATATCCTCTGTGAGGGTCGAATCTCCTCTTTAAAATGACACCCTGATCATGTCATTACGTTCACAGTTGACTGAGCAGTGACCACTTTTATGAAAGGGTCTATTTAGAGGCTTGCGCCACTTTTCAATTGTGGTCTTTGTGGCGTCATTTGTCACAGAGTGAAAGGCTATGGTTGCCAATCAAGGCAGGTGGGGAAAAAAGTGATTTCACCATGAAAAGTGGCGCAAGCTTCTGAATAGACCCTTGCATAAAGTTGGTCACTGCTCAGCCAACCGTGAATGTAAGGACACGGTCAGGGTGTCATTTTAAAGAGGAGATTCAACCCTAACAGAGGATATCTCCCTTTGATTCACATGTGCCCTACTTCTGTTCCAATTAGCAATAATATCTTGGTTTCGTTTTTTTTTTATCCACCCTGTATTGTGCGTGCGTGAAGGGTGCGTGTGCAGAGCCCGCATGCCTCACAACAGCGGACTGCAATCCTCTCAATCTCAAGTCTGGCAGAAAAGTTCACAGTAATCAAAAGGTTACACTGCAGCGATTTCATTTATTTCTTGAATAGTGAGTTAAAAACCTTTTTTGACTTATTGGCACGATATAACAAAACAATTGTTGACTACTGTGATGTGGGATATGGTCTTTTTAACCCTCTCTGGATGCATAGCACCCTCAGCTTCACCTCGGGTGCTATGCGTCCCTCGGGTGTTAAAACGCCATATCCCACACCACAGCAGTCAACAATTATATGTACCTCTTCAGGTGAAGGTTATATTGTCCATAAAATGTGCCTAACATTTGCTTCAGACGGGCATTCCAGAGTCACGTCGGCCGTTTGCGGCAATAACACATGAGTCTATGGCAAGTGGCTGCAGCCGCTGGCCAGTGGCTTCCATAGGTGCACATGTTGTACATAGCCGTAGCCAAGTAGGGCTGTCCATTTTCAAATAATTTAGTACTTGATTACTTGAAACTGCGTTTGACCGAATATTCGGATATTCAAAACTACCTCCTGCAGCTGCGTGCAGTGTTGGTCAAAAGTTGCAAAAGTTAAAATTTGGATGCGGCGATTCCTACAGGCTGCTGAAATGTTTTGTAGTATTAGTTTTTTATATTGTCAAGGGCCTTCACCTGCTAAAAGGATGGGAAAAATGAACCGCCGTTGACAAAAAATGTTAGTTGACCAAAAAGAGGCACCTACAAATAAAGCGCCGAACTTTACAATAAAATAACACCACAGTTGTGTGTGCGCGCGCATATTTATGTTTTCGAACATTCAAACTGGCAAAAAGTTATTCGAATATTCGGTTGATGATCGACTTTTCGGATATTCGGAATATCTGGGACAGCCCTATAGACCATTATCAGGTTGCGGCCATCTTGTTTTTTTCCCATTCAAATCAACATAACCAAAGCGAGGCTGGAAGGAAAAATAGTCTGGTTCCTTTTTGCACAAAAAAAATTATCATTCAGTACTGTTATTGGAGACAGGGAACATGACTGCAATGGTGGCAGCATGATAAAGGTCTATAGCCAAGCGATTCGGACATGGCCTTACACGTGACTCGGGTCAACCCAACTAAAGCTTGTCGCTGCCGACAGGTGAACTTCATGTATCAAATTTTCCATTGACTATACCCCGAAGTCATTCCGACCGACTGCAAAAGTCAATCTTTCGCGATAAGTCCTAACTGTTTTAGATGTGAAACTTTAGTCGAATCTTACTGATAATTTGGTTCGGTGCAACTCTAAAATGCCTGTCTGAAACGGGGTTAAGATTTAACGACGGTGGAATACTCAACCGGAACGAACATCAGTTGGGTTTATACACTGACAGGAGTGAACTCGGAAATACAAAGTACATGAACATTGAAACGGACAACAAAACTATTTGTTTTGTAGGATGTAGTCAAGTCTATCACAAGTCCCTGCAAGTCCACCACAAGTCCTCCAGTCATGAATCAAATCACAAGCTACTCAAACGAGCTTTGACAAAGGCATTCCTTTGTTATTGTTCATCCACTGTTACTTGTGACTGGACTTGTGACTGGACTTGTGATGGTCTCGACTACAACCCTGGCACCAGAATGGTCATGGACAGGTTTAAAGGTTCATAAATCATAATAAGGGACGAAAACAGTGCATTCCATTGGTAAAACCACTGTGCTAATGATAATGGGTTTTTCCCCCATTGCTGCCCAATTCTGAGATTTCTGACATACCTCAAATCCTGAAGCTTCGTCTCCACAGCACATTTCATTCTGGCAAGCCTGGCAGGATAAGCACTTATTCATACTGCATCTCTGAAATCACAAGAATGATCACTCCGCGCATAAATTAAAAAAAAACACCGCAAAAAAAGAAAGTCCACATTATTGAAGGGGTCGTAATTTTGAATCTGATCGTCTTATGATGACGTCATTTATATAAACCTTTGGGGAATGTTGTTAGCTACATTTTAAATCAATTCAATTTCAATTTCAATTTCTTCAATTTCAATTTCTTCAATTTCAATTTTTTATTCTCATCATGTAAAAAGATGAAACTTGTCTCCTCCATTCTGCACACAAATAGTCATATACACATTAAAAACTTCACATTAAAACCATAAAAACATATACATTATGTACAAATAGACGTAACAATATGAGAAAACTTACAAGGGTACACGTAACCAGAAATAGAACAACAAATTTAGCCTAATTAAATAAATAAATAAAATATCTGGATTGATCTATAGAGCTATAGATATGTATAATAACAAAAAGCCTGTTGCACAAAAATGGGAAGGGAAATATAAGAAAGCCAGGGGGATATGAGCGGGGAGAAAGAAAACAGGGAAATGGTTGGAACTTACATGTACGAGGGGTATAAACATTAAACACACACATTTCGCATCGCGATTTAAAAAGCATTATCTAGTATAAGTCTGATTAAAAACACGAAATTGCCCTGGGTAAAAAGAATAAAAATGTGTCGTGTAATACGAGATTTCAATTTACAGATTCAACCTGACAGAAATGAGTAGATGTGTGGACAATGGTTTAAGAAAAAGGATTTGAAAAGTTGCAAAATATCAATCGTACAGTGCTTGTGTTCATGGGAGCATGCGAAATTGAATTATCCGCGATTTGTTCAGGCACTGTGCAGTCAATGGGGGCCAATTACGGGCACCTGAGGGGAACACCCCAGTAAATAGGCCAAAAGTCCCTCCACCAAGCTCATGAATAAGAGTTATACACTTAGAGAGTTCTGAGAGCAAAGGAATTGGGCAATTGAAGTGATACGTCGGCAATGCACCTCTGGCTCGGACTTGTGGCTTCCAATTTCGAGCATTTTGGATGCAATTGGGCCTAAAAGTGGCGCTATTTAGCAATGTTGTGCAGGAGTGTGATTGACCACTGATCAAAATAGCTGAAATAGCTGAAAAAGGTGTAAAAAGCTGAACTTTGGAAATCTCCAATACTTTTGTACATAGCAAATGAGGGAAAAAGCTGAAATCCAAAACAAAAAAAGCTGAAATCAGCTTTAAAGCTGAGATTTCACACCCCTGGTTGTGGTGGGATCCTTTTTCAAGATGGCCACTTTTCCAAATTATCCAAAAAAATTGAGGTCGGCAATTTGGCAGCAAAAATTCCAGGTAGGTCGGGTTGCCGTAAACACACCATTTTTTTTTTTTTGACTAATGGGTAATTTGGCTGAATGGAGCCAAACTTTAAATTTGGCATCTATTTTTAGTTTGTTTTTCTACTCACATTATCAGGCGGTCCACACACTGAGTCTAAGCAGGATTTGACATTGGGGTAAGCACAGCAGTTGCATCCCTCGGCACAGGAGATCCAACAATCACAACACTGTAGACTACCGTCCTCCTTCCCACAAGGCGCACAGGCCATGCAGACACCTCGGGCCTTTTCAGAGAAAAACAAAAACAAAATTTAAAAACTTTATACCAGACCTCTTCATGGAGTAACAGCATTGTAAGGAGTAGAAACCCCAAAACGGCAGCTTTTCATCTGAAAATGCGCAAGTTCGGAACCATGCGCATCAACAGGCTGAAAGAAGGCTGCCACCGTCGCAAAGAGAGTACAGCCACGTCGGGCAGTCACCCTTGCAACCAGTGACCCCGAGCAAGTGGCTCGGCCATTGGCCTACTGAGCCTCCAACAGGCTCACGCGAGGAGGGCTGCAGCGAGAGGCTGTGATACCAATCCCTGCTTGGTGCGGGCAGACCATCAGAATACCAGATCCGTTGATCTGCGATGGCTAAACCCTGACAATCCCTTTACTTGAAACTCAAGTGTACATAAAATGCTAGGTAAACAAGAAAAATTGAACAGAAGACAATGTCTATTTTCCCTCGAAAATTATCCACAAAATACAGTTCTAGCCCACTTCTTCTTTGGAATGGTGTGGATGCAGGTGCTTATTACTATCTTTCTTGAACGAACCAAACCTTTTCTTGCCTTTTGGGAGATATTTTCTTCAAATCATTCGAAGGTTCTATGCCTTCAATTTGGGGAATGCAATAAAAAAATTCCCCAACCCACTCCCACAAAATTAATTCAGTGAATATCACATTTCCAAAAAGAGGATACATTTGGAGATGTGCTCTGGATTTTTATCTCTCTCAATTAACACTTACCACAAGAAACTGCCGGACCACCACTAGGGCAACGATGAGGAGAAGATATCCTCCGATTGCTATGACTACAATCACCGGGACGGGCAGGGGCAACTCACTAGGGGCGGCTGTGGTAGCCTGTGGTAAAATAGTGCCAAGGGTAAGATAATGTAATTGGATTTATATACTTTTCACAAACCCTGTTTGAATAAGATTCCAAGAATTTGGATGCAAAATAAAACATATGAGTAAGCCCAGGGGCGGATCCAGGGGAAGGGGGGCTCGTACCATACTTTCAATGGAGGCGCTGTTCAAATCCGACGATTATTAACACTATATTACAGAATAGTGTAGAAATAGCACAAGCAAGCTGGCTGGCTATATTTTGTGCACAGGCGGACATTATTACCAGTATAATTGTTTTGGGTGTCGGAGGGGGGGGGGGTAGGGAGGTGATTCGGATTATTTTTAAGATTTTTCGATGAAGAAAAAATTTGTTTGACAGAGCTGGGTTTTTGTTTTAACACAACACCCCCCCCCCCCCCCCCCCGGATGTGCGTCTGAAGGCCATTTTCAAAACCTAGAAACTCACTAAAATTCCAAACTTGACTAACTGAAATTAAATTGTTTTAACAAATCAGTTTACTTTTGAAAATGAGTTTTCTAGAATTTGACTTCTTAAAATACAGTTGTATTGGAAAATCTACTTTTGTACACAAAGTCCATGTAATATGAACACCATGTCCTTTTAAAGCTGACGTTTTTCTTCAAAACTTAAACAAGTGCTACATGTACATGTCCTTTCACAACCTATCTTTTTATGTTTCACGTTCAAGAATACAATGTACATGTAGTTTACAGGTATTAGGAAACTTTGCAATAGTCAGTGTTGTAGTCGAGTCACCAACGTCGAGTCCGAGTCCCGAGTCACAAGCCTCGAGTCCCAGTCCAAGTCCCGAGTCACAAGCCTCGAGTCCCAAGCCTCGAGTCCGAGTCTCGAGTCACAAGCCTCGAGTCCGAGTCCCAGTCACGAGTCACATGCCTCGAGTCCGAGTCTCGAGTCACAAGCCTCGAGTCCGAGTCCCAGTCTCGAGTCACATGCCTTGAGTCCGAGTCTCGAGTCACAAGCCTCGAGTCCGAGTCCCAGTCTCGAGTCACATGCCTCAAGTCCGAGTCTCGAGTCACAAGCCTCGAGTCCGAGTCTCGAGTCACAAGCCTCGAGTCCGAGTCCCGAGTCACAAGCCTCGAGTCCGAGTCCCAGTCTTGAGTCACATGCCTCGAGTCCGAGTCCCGAGTCACAAGCCTCGAGTCCGAGTCCCAGTCTCGAGTCACATGCCTCGAGTCCGAGTCTCGAGTCACAAGCCTCGAGTCCGAGTCCCAGTCTCGAGTCACATGCCTCGAGTCCGAGTCTCGAGTCACATGCCTCGAGTCCGAGTCCAAGTCACGAGTCACTTGTTCTTAGTTGTTCACCAAACTAATCAATTTTTTTAAATTCGAGTCCGATTCATCATGGTCGAGTCCGAGTCCGAGTCATTTTCCAATGTGACTCGAGTCGAGTCTGAGTCACGAAAAGTTTGACTCGAGTCCGACTTGAGTCCTACAACACTGGCAATAGTCCATCAAACCTTTCCTGTCTGTCACTTCATGGTAAAACTGGCAGTATTTTAGTCCTCCAGAACAAATAAAGTGACCAGTCATCAAAATTTATACTGACCCCCACAACATACCCCCCACCAAAAGAAAATACAATACAGGGTGGCCCCCAAAACAACCAAACGGCGTACTTCCGTTACCCCGAGACTCAAACAACCTATACCAATGCATAGGTACATTATGTAATTCTGTTAAAAGAAAAACGATACCAAGATCGCCCGATTCAGTCCAGTAGTTTTTGTTCTAGAGCCTATTTTGTGAATTCATCAAAGTTGCGAGTCATTTTGTCACGATAAATTACTAAACCGCACTTACGAATTGGATAGAGGGATTAAATGTTATACAAATATTGAGTGGCTCAGCGTGGAATGGGAGGAATATTATCGCAAGGTAAAATCTGGACTTTTCCATTTCACGAGGCGAAGCCGAGTGAACTGGAAAAGCTGGAGGAAAAACTGGAGGAAAATGTATTTCTCTCTTCCAAACCACCCTTTCACGAAAATGTTTGAACCCAACGCTGTAGCGCTGTCTCTTTGGAACAATACGCGCTACGCGCAACGCTGAACGCGCACACCAGCATGCATTTGCACACAAATACCGCGTCATGATCCTAACTGTTGAATAGTATTTCCCATTCCCCATGGGTGGATAGTACTTTTTGAGCCGTGGCATGAATGGGAGCAATAACAAATGCCACGTGATGCGAGTTCCACCAATCAAATGACAAGGATCTGTATGTCGGTTATATAATATGTAATAATACACACATGAAAGATGTGCTTCAGGAAATAGGCACTGCAGCAACAACTACTTGACTGAATCGGGAGATCTTGGTATCATAGTTCTTCTAAAAAGATTCTCCATCTATTGGTGAAGGTGGTTCGTGTCAGGTAGCGGAAGTATGCCAGTCCGTATTTTTGGGGCCACCCTGTAAAACAAAGACATTAAAACTGACAAATAAAACTTACGCTTTCCATTCTGGAGGTGGTGCTCTATAAATAAAGGAATGCTACGTGCCTCCAGAGGAACACCAATGACCAAGACATTGACTAAACCTAATCATCTTGAATCTTGTAATATCTTGAACAGAAACTGAATCATGAAGGCTGGAGATTGCACAAAGAACGAGTCATGCACCTCCCCAAACATAAGACAACCACCACCTGTTAGAAAAGAAAAGAAAACTTTTTGAGTAAAGGTGTAGTCCAGACATTGGACAAAAATTGGGGTGAGGGTTGCTTAGGCGGAACGCGATCAGCACTACGTGCCATCAGAATGTGACGTGTAGATACAAATGAACGGCAGCTCTATCTAGGAAAAGAATGGGAAATCTCAATATTCATCTGTGTCATAAGTTAACCTAAATACCATCATCTTAATCTTCAATCTCGGATTTCTGAGATGGCATATTGCCTGAACAAAAATCTGATGGTTTTGGTGGGTGATTGGTTTTTCAAAGGCAAGGCATAGGCTAGATTAACTTCCGACTCTACTATTGCCAGATCACGTCCAAATCTTTAAAAAAAAAAGATTTTGTAGGCTCCTAGTTGGGCGAAGCATAACATTGGACTCGCGTTTTCAAAATTATGACTATGGTCAACTCTAACAACATGTTGGGTTGGCTGTGGACACCGTGTGCCCGGACTGGTTCAAGCACGTATGGCGCAAAGAAGGGCACATGACTTAAATTCTGAAGACAGTATATTTGACCGTGAACTGGTCCCCGATAGTTTTCAGTATTGTTCCAGCACAGCACTGAACGTGCGCAGTGACTATTTTTGGGGACTTGGTTCAGCGCTTACATTGTAGGCCTAGGCCCTATTTGTGACTTTGACAATTTTTGAATTTTATTTCCCTTTAAATAAAATTTTCCAGAGCCACATATCAGAATAAGAAATGAAATACTTTGCAACTAAAATGTAGGACTCAATATTACATAATAAAAAGATGACAATCCTTATATTTTGGGATGTCCATAAACAAATTAAGTTTAAAAAACATCGGTCTCACTGCGACTTGAACTCAAGCAGCGTTGCTTGTGAGGCCGACGTGATATCCACTAGCCACGTACGCGAGGCACTCAACAAGTGGAATGATAATTAAATATCTTATAATAATATTAATATTATGGTGAAGGGGGGAGAAACATTTGATAGGCGCATAACTGTTGAGCCTTTGATGAGGTGGCCTCCTTAAGCTAACTAGCTACTCAATTTTTGCGTATGCACTGCAAGTGTTCTGCAAGTGCAAGAGCAAGTTCAAGTTCAAGGTGGCCAGAAAAATTTCAATTTTTTATATTTCGGCTGTTGTAATAATGATATTACTTATTTATACCATTCCACCAAGTTGACTGAACCAAAAGACTTTGTTTTACTGAACGTAGGGCCTACCATGTAAAAGAAAACAAGCTAACGAAGAGTCGCACAAAAAGCGTCGGTTCGTTGCTAATGCTACTAGTCGGCCATTCTGCATGCCATGCCAGAGTGAAATGGACCACAAGAGGGCGGCAGACCTAGTTCACGGTTGCTCGATATATATCGAGCCGATCATCAACACACGTGCGTTATGCATACGCGGATCATCAACCAACAGCTGATCGTGCGTAAACTAAGCGTGGTAAAGTAGTTAATCCTGTGATTGTGAATAAATCACCTAGGCCTAATTAATAGTGACTTTTTGCTCCCAAATCGACCAATATTTATCTGTGTACCGTAAGTGTTATAAATCGATTGTTTTTAACTTGCTAAATTTAAAGATTTTTGTAATAACTTGTTCAAAGTTGTTGTCCTCCCCGTGTATAGAACTATGACTTATGAGGCTCCGCGTGAGCGGAGCCTCATAGATGTAGAAGCCCGCAAAATTGTCTGCAGCACAAAACACTAATAAAGTACAAAAAGTCCATCAAAATGGAGACATTTCACACAGAACCGCTGCACAGTTTGCCCCTATACTCCGTACTTTACCTCTTGACATACTCACGTATCATGCGCAGAACTAACATAGGTGGATTCTGTCGGTTTTTAGGCCAAAATGATGAAAAATATACCCTTTCCGCACTGAGCCAACCTGACACTTGAAACGTGCACGCATATGATCGAGCGATGATTTTCGGACGACTGTGATTAGAAAATCTGTTGCAAAAATGTTTCGTTTTGGGAGTTATTGCAGAATACCCTGCCACTTGGAAATACACCCCTAAATTCTCTGGCTACGAGGTTGGAATCACTGGAAAAGAAACAATTCAAGTCCATTCCAGCTACGCGGATACTGAGTGGGGGTCCATCATTTGAGAACGAAGCAACACAAAAGGAATGGGAGTTGCTGAAAAAAATTCTAAGTCCAAACCAACCACCCTGTTGGCGGCTACGCGGATACGGAGTGGGAGTTCCCGAATATGCTTGAGAACGAAGCAACACAAAAGGAATGGGAGTTGCTGAAAAAATTCTAAGTCCAAACTAACTACCCTGTTGGCGGCTAAGCACTTACGAAGTGGGAGTCGAGTGCAATGGAGCATGACGCATAGTACATACAAGTAGCGCTGAGAATGTTTATTGAGGTCAACCAACCGTGACCTCGTAGCCGGCTACAAGGTAGATAGATCGAGTGGCGGGGTATTCTGCAATTGTGCTGCCTCGTTTTGTTTTATTCATTTCATTTGTTTTGTTTCGTTGTTTTTGTCTTTCAGTGTTTTTTGTAACTTCTTTTCAGATAGACAGATTCCACATTTCTGGCCGAACTTATTTGACATTTCCTTCCTTTAGGCATATATAATGACTGTGTGTTGGCTCAAACCACCTTTGTGTCACTTTTTTTTTATTTTGCTTTTTCAGTTAATCATCTACCATGGCAACATTTGAAGAGACGAAGGAAGTTTGGAGGAACGCAGACGTCGTGTGCTTCGATGTCGACAGCACAGTCAGCACAGAGGAAGCCATCGATGAACTTGCCGCACACTGCGGCGTTGGGGAGGAGGTTGCGCAATGGTAAGACACAGCTTCACAGTGATCGGAGATGGTGATGGTCATAATTTACAGCGGCTATTGTTTATGATGACTGCCAAAGCCAAGGAATGATGATCTTGATGATGGTTTGACAGGGTGTGATTTTTTTGGGAGGACTAAGGAAATAAATGTTGAGGAAGATAATGATGCAGATTATGATGATGATGATGGTGAGTGATGGATGAGTGATGGAAAGGATGATGACGTTGAGAAGAACGATGGTGGTTTGCATGAAAAATATGTAGAGTGAAGAGGAGGGGGCGAAGATGGTGAGATAATGAAGGTGAAGGTGATGAATTGGGTGATTTTGGTAGTGATAGAGAAAGTGATGGGGATGATGATGATGATTACAGTGATGACATGGACAACAGTGTCAACAATGACGATATCGGCGACTGTGAGAGTGACGGATGATGGTTGACAAATGATAGATGACAATGACAATGCAGTGATGATGACAGTCTTGACAACAACTACAGCATCAAGGTTTGTAACAGTTCACTTTGATATAAGCTTTCATATTGATTATTGATTAGCTGCTCGTTTTTTTTATCATTTCAGGACAAAGAAGGCCATGGACGGCAGCATAACGTACAAGGAAACACTGCAGGCCAGAATGGACATCATCAACCCTACCAAAGCTCAAGTCAAGGCTTTCATAGAGAACCACCCGCCTGCCGATTATCTGACGCCTGGTGTGACGTGAGTTCGGCTCTCCGGTGTCACTAGTCTGTTGTCATGCCCCATCGATGAGGGGAGGGGTGGGGTTAGCTTGATGTTTGATGGGCTGGGTGCCGGGGGGGGGGGGGGTGTAGTCTGAGGATCAGGCATTCACTTGCGCAGAGCCACAAGAACGAATGTTTGATGTATCCGAGCATGCAGATTTTATGCGCCAGCCATTTGGAGTTGACTTTAAAAACTGTGACTTCATTTTGATCAGAAATAAGGAAATAAGCTCTTGATTGGTCAATGTGGCTGGCCTTTTTTTTCGTAATACAACAATGGGTTACGGAAGAAACGATACAAGAGTCCTGCTGAATGGTCAGAGTCTTCAGATCAAGACGTAGCCTTGTTTTGTAAAATTAATTGCCGAATCCTCCGCACTACTCCAGGATGTCACTGGCTCTGCCTCAACATATTGACAGTGATTGCTGGAGGATTTTGCAGGATTGGAAAGTGGTCGCCCCTCCAAGGACCACATTCAAGAAATGACAGATGATTTTGGAGGATAGACGCTGATACAATTTTTACATGGAGGATTTTGCAGGATTGAGGTTGCATGCTAGCAAAAATGCCTAGGGAGTTAGGGTTAAGACATTGTACAATTTTCTTTCTAGGGAATTGATTCAGCTACTCCTAGCTCGAGGGACGGCAGTGTACTTAGTAACTGGAGGTTTCTTCTGCACAGTTAGTGAGCTGGCCAAAGCGCTGAAGATCCCGGAAGAAAACATCTTTGCCAACAAGCTTAAGTTTTTCTACAATGGTAAGACATTTGTGTTGATACTTCAATACATTTTTACAATACGTAATAATTTAATTTTGAATCTGAGCAGGTAATTTATTAATTAACCAAGAATACCAGATCAATAGTGACTGTTGGTTTTCAGGTCTTTTAGCTAAGAATTACAATGGATCATAACCGAATCGTCAATGATTAGTCAAGTGTGCTTTTTCTGTAATTTATTTTAAAACCAACAAATGAGTCAACCAGACTGTCGTTGGACAGCCACAAGCCAAAACAAATTGAATGGAAATGAAATCTTTGTCCGTCCAGGTGAGTTTGCTGGATTCTGTGAGAAGCAGCCCACCTGCGAAGCCGGGGGCAAACCCAAGGTAGTGGGCATGCTGAAAAAGAAGCACGGCTACCGACATGTGGTGATGATTGGGGACGGCGCCACAGACCTGGAGGCTTGTCCACCTGCTGTAAGTACATCGGGAACTAGACCTGTGGCAATTTATGTTTGGCTGGGTCAAACTCCAAATAGACCATTATCATGTTGTGGCCATTTTGATTTTTTTCCCATTCAAATCAACGTAGACATTCAAATGTACGTGGAGTAATTAGCTGTGTAGTAAACATTCACATTTAATAAAAATTTTGTGCAATGGCTTATTGGAAAGCATAACTTGCTCAGAATAAAAACGGTACCTAATTTTCATCACTGATACTACGTTGTATTGAAAATATTTCCCATAAGAAATTTCTAGAAGGAATGCTTCCAGAAAAAAAAAAAATATTAAAGTAATAGAACTGGAAATTTCGATCTCAGAACAATCTTCAGCGTAGCACAACTATTTCAAGACGTCAAACTTTTAATATGGTTGGCACAAGTGTGGAATGCAGAGGAGGAAAAAGCAATTGCGCCCATTATTGGGCGAGGTTCAGTCAAGATTCTAGTCTGTTCTTAAGTCTTCGTTCATCCTTATTTCTCCCCCAGGATGCTTTCATCGGATTCGGTGGCAACAAAGTCCGAGCCAAGGTCCAAGAGGGAGCCAAGTGGTTCGTCTCCAGCTTCCAGGAACTCATCAGCGTGCTGAACGAGTCTTCATGATGTCATCGCCCAAGGGTGGCGGTTGCCTAGGCTACAACCAAAGGATTATGGGATGGATACAATATGGAAAAAAGAGGGTGACGAAATGATGACGTCATTGTGCAGTACCTAGAACCAGACCAGGCTAAATTCAGGTCAATATGCTTGCAAACCAGCAGCCGATTTCACGAAACATCATGTGCATAACTTACGTCATGCGGATGACTTACACAACAAATATCACCTCCGTCCACCATTTTAGATTTTATCTGAATTTCTTCGGAATCGTGCAGGAAATCTCAAAATTCTGTCACGAGTAACAAACAAAAAATTCATTCACTTCAAACACAAAGTGTCTGGTATCAACTTTGATATTAAGTTGTGCAATGACAAGCTGCACGATGATCGCGATTTGCTAGTAAAATAAGTATTTTCATTCGCTACGCCACAACTTATACCACCCATTAAAATGCCACCTATGAAACTTTCGTGAAATGTGTCATAACTGCAATGTTGCGCAGCTTGAAAATGTTGTTCAACGTATGCAATAAATGGTGGCACAAGTAGAGTTACGCCATTGCGTAAAGTTTCGTAAAATAGATTGCCGGGTCGAATTTCCTGGAGCGGCGAAGCAGAAAATGTTGCTTAGCGAAATTATGTGCTAAGCAGAGATCAGCAGGGAACCAGTCACAAGCAGTATGTAATGCGTGCTGGTAACCTGTTTCTGCTAAGCAGATACTTTTTTGTGTTTAGCAAATTTCTGTGCTGAGCAGCTTAGTGATAGAGGTTATACTGGGCCGTGTCCGAATTCTTGGCTACGGCTTGAAGTTACACACATGTCTATGGTAGCGGCTGCAGCCACTTCCCATAGACACGTGTGTAATTTCAAGCCGAGCCAAGCAAGTCGTACGCGGCCCTGGAATGTTTTCAAATTCACAATGTGGTCACAGAAAGAATCTATTTTCATCATGCTGAACACCCAAAGGCCACGATAGAAGTTTGTTTGGAGACAGTTGTCTTGCCAACTGACGTCACATTTTGCTACTCTTTCCTGCTGGTATTCCTGAGGAGTGAAAGCTCAGTTTTCATTTTCAATAGTGTGATTTTAAGATTGATGCCTAAATTATTCCAAATTTTTCATAAAAATTATCACCATTTTGAAATTGTTGCCAAAGAATATGTTTTTGGAAATGTTTGTCATTTCAGCAAATTAAGTAATAACAAAATAAATGCTAATAGTGCATATTTAAAACTTGCATGTCCACCAGTACAGCGTGTCCCAATAAACATTGTGCACGAAGAAGTCGCTGATTTGCTCAAAAGGTGGTCATACTAGCCAATCAAATTTTATATTATTTTAAAGCCTACGGTCTTGTTTATAATTGGTGAAAATATCAAGAAAATCCTTCAATGCAAACCAGAGATATATCGTTGATTTTGTGAGGCTATATTATTTTCCTCCTGCACAATTCGAATCCTGTAGTTAAGCTACCAATACATTTCAGCTGTCAAAGAAGATTGTCATTGTCATTGTTCATTGTCCTTTCAAAATCTTTGTCAAAGACTAAATACGTGATATCAGGCATTCCAAGTGGTATTAGATTTGATTATATAATGTTATGTACCCAAAATGTTATCTGTGAACACTCTTATCCAAATGCCATGCAATATTTCAAGCACTGCGTAACACATACCAATAACCCAATGATTGGTATATACAAACAAATACTAAGTGTGGAAAATTACATTGTGCAGGTCGAAAAATACATAGCCTTACCAAATCAAAGATACCTCTGGTTTGCATTGTTGGATTTTCTTGATTTTTTCACCAATTATAAACAAGACCATAGGCTTAAAAATGCTATAAAATTTGATTAGCTAGTCTGACCAACTTTTGAGAAAATCAGCGATTTCTTATGCACAATGTTTATTGCGACATGCTGTATAAATTGGTGGTCGAAATGCTCAGGCTACAATACGTTCAAGGTTAAACAGGGTGTACTTTTCAAATTTTGTAATAACGCGCTAAAGACCGAGTTGTCATGGAGTCGGTCACAAGTCAAAACACATTAGGTGGGAAATAAGCTAATTGAATGCTACTCGCCTGACTGGATGGCTTGCGATAACTTAATAACTATCTTGACTTGAATGGCCAGGTCACACAAGGCTTAATTTTTAATGCAAATTTTTGTTATATGATCACCTTGCATTATTTATTACAAATCTATGTATAAACATCCTTCTGAACCAAACATAGGTGATTTTACTTACGATAAAGAGCCATCTTATGGCAGGTTATATATATTTAATTTAAAAAAAATACAACCAAAACGTCTTTGTGAAGAAAAATAAAACTAGACAAAATCTTGGATATATAAACAAATTTGCTACGTTTGGGATTTTTACATTTGTTTGGTGAAGTTAATACTATTTATTATTCTAATTTGATGCTAATTTTAAAGTTGAACAAAGAAATCAACTGGAGAAGGGTTTGAACCTGCGACCTCCGGATTGCCATTCCAGTGCTCTACCAACTGAGCTATCCAGACGGTTCCCCATTTTGTCCATGTCTTGGTTCAATTTGAAATTGAGAAAACGTGTATGAATTACAAATGTCAACCACTTACATGTATAAATTTTAAGATAATGTATTGAAAAAAAAACTGAATAAACTCATAATGCTGCAACTACTGTTTAGACTGTTGCTTGAAATTCTTGCAACTGAGCACCTCTTGCTCAAATAACAACTAATCAGTACAGAAATTCCTTAGCAATCCAGCCATACTCTTTGTTTGGCCCAAAACAGTGATAATGTGTACGAATTTATTACAAATGATACCGAAAACAGTTGCACTTTTGAATACGTGCAAGATGTGGTTCACACTCACTTGCACGTATACAAAAGTGTAACTTTTTTCCGGTACCATTTGTCATAAATTGCGTAATTTTGTACACATTATCACTGTTTTGGGCCAAACAACGAGTATGGCTGGATTGCTAAGGAATTTCTGTACTAATCAGTCATAATTTGAGCACGATGTGCCCAGTAGTTTTTGAGTTAGACAAAAAAGTATTAAAGGGGGACTTTCTTTTTAGTGTATTATACATTTCTTCTGCGTACGAGCAAGCTGTCCTAACATTGGTGTGATATCCTGAGATAACGGGGCAGACAAGGTAGATGAGGGAGACATTTAATGTCTCCCTAATGGTTGAAGTCCTATTTCTAGACAAAATGTTATGCTTTTACTGAGAATTCTTAACTGTTGAAAACAGTCACTTGATTGATTTTTGACTGAAAGGACTACTTGGCACATAATGTATATTTGCATAGGAGGGTTAAAGTAATAATTCTGTTTGTGCACAAGTCTATAGGAATGTCACCCTGAGCAACCATTTTCATTAATTAAAATAAAAATGGTAACATGCTACAATGTAGAACAAGCATGTGCATAAGTCACCACCTTCTAATGACCAAAAATATAAAGATAAAATATACTAAGACTGTCATTGTCTTAAACTAAAAAAAAAAATGGTACAAAAATTCCACTTCATTTTTGGAAAGAATTGGGCACAGACTAGCACCCCTGACACAAAAATAGAACTTAATAAAACCTTAAAAGTAAACATTGCATGTTTTCACCAAAAAAAAGGACATGTACTTGTCTAATCCCGTCCTCTACTTATACAACGTAACTAAAAACGGACAAAGTACGTTTTAAGAAATTCCTCTTTGTAAATGTTAGCCAGAATTGAATCCTGATGAACGAATTGACACATAAATTGTTATTTCAATATTGGGCTTTGCCCTTTTTGAAAGTATTATTTTCAGAAAGTAACTAGTAGTGTATTTCTATAGTGAAGGGCGAAACCCATCACAAGCCCCCAAACAAACTTGCCTCCGTGCTAAGCCTTGATATAGAACAAAGCATGAACTATAGTTTGATGTACCAGTTTCAATGGGAAAGTTGGTAGGATGGACCATTTTTGTCATTTGTGCATTTTTTTTTATTTGAAGCAATAAAAGTGCTCAAAATCTAAAGACCAGTGCTTAACGACTAAATTTTAGCTCTATGAATGCTGTATGTTTCAAGAAAACACAACATTCTGGATTTCGATTTTTGTTTAACAGTTGCATAGTTGTATTTTGAATTGTGACACAAATCCCCAAATCAGCATTTGGGACATGATTCCCATTACATTGTAGCTACGTGATGTCGCACACCAAACACAAGATTCTCGCTCACAGCAACTGCGCGCAAGGGTGCGTCATTGTGAATGCTTGCTAATGATAAACTGCTATGACTGGAGTTTGTGATTATTGCTTCGTGCTTATTGTATTAAAACTTCAGTATCATGAAAATGTTGTTTTGTAACATCCACACTGAAAAATTTAACTTTCCAAACATATCAATTCACACTCGTGAGCAGTAAACAAAGGTCGTACAAATCACTTGGCTATACCCGGGCCTAATACTGACACCTGCACTATACATATACTGCAGCCGATTTCACGAAACTTTACGCAATGGCATAAATCCACATGCGCCACATTTTATTGCGCAAGTTGCGCAACATTTCACACTGCGCAACATTTCAGTTGATGACAATTTCACGAAAGTTTCACAACGCGTAAATCCGCGACTTGCGCAACAAATTATGGCATAACTTAAGCAAAAATTTTAGGTGGTGTAAGTTGTGGCGTAGCGACCGAAAATGACTTATTTTACCAGCAAATCGTGATCGTCCTGGTGCCCGTTACTGCACAACTTATCAAGGTTGAAACAAGACAGTCACAGCTTTGTGTTTGAAGTAAATAAATTGCTATTCTACTAGTGACCAAGCGTTTAGAGTTGCCGCACAATTCCGAAGCAACTCGGACAAGATTATTTTTAAAATGGCAGGCTGAGGTGATTCAACGACTGTTTCCTGATCGAACAAAATCGTACACAAACAGCCGTCGTAAATGCTGTTATTATCCTCGTCCAAGATGTTTAGATTATTTAAAACGTTGCACAGCTATTGATTCTTAATTGATTGTTAAGTTTATTGCGCAGTTGTGCAACAAATTTGTTGCGTAAGTCCTATGCATGGCGCAAGCTACGCCCTTTTTCGTGAAATCGGCTGCTGGCACTTGCACTGACAGCAGGTACTGGTTCTATTTTACGGCTGCTCCCAAACGATCTTCATGGGTTCAAAGTTGAAGAGGTCAGGGTGGCCCAGGTGAAGCTGCTCCTTTTCACATGGAGACTTGCTCCACTGGAAGACGGGCTGTTGGTCATGGGTGGGCCCACTGACGGCCATCATGGACAGCGTCTTGGCCATGCCACTGCTGGTCACCTGTGCAAATATGGACAAAGATGATGACTAGGGACACCGTGAAGAAGTACCCTCTAGCAAAGTAAACCGGACACCTGACTTCATAACAATTGTGTATGGACTAATCCGGCGACAGCAATTTTCTGAAGTCGCACTCAGCAGGCATGCAAACATTTCCTCGGATCCGCTGATTTCCTCATTTTTTTTTTACTTCTCATGAATGCCATTATAAATTGAAAAACACTGTACAAAGTCTTGTGTGGTTTGGAGTTTCCTCATTATTTCTAAATTCCCAGTTGCATGCCTGACTCAGTCGTCAGCACGCACGCACTCCCGGCTCCTTTGACCATTAGGGTCAACCAAAATGCACGCACGCCTTGTCTTCAAGAACGCGTGCAGCATGCGTGCACAAGTCAGTACACAACTGCAGTCTGCACAACTAAATGGTCCATCTATTTCAAAAAGTATCAGTCCAATCTTACACTTCAAATTTAAAGGTAATAGACAACATTTGCAAACATCAAAAAAAAAAAACTACCAAATTAGGCCAAAAAAAAAAAGTCTCCGGTTTCTGGTATGGAGCTTGCCCCAAAAGTGGTGCGGCAACGCGGCTTTTTTTTTTTTTTACCTGTTTTTTTTTTTTTGTCTTCAAATGTCGGCTGATGACTGCAAATGGTGCCCGACTAAACTTAATGCAAATATATGGGAGTCCAGAGAGGCCACATAAAGCTTATTCTCGATCATAACCCCATCTAAAAACACGTTAAAATTGTGCAGCAGCAGGATTTCAGTCAAACCAGTGAGTTTGGCGGTTTTGAGACATCATCTTGTATTGAAAAAAAAACTTTTTCATTTTGCCGATGCGCATGGCTACGGCGACGCGCGCGCATACCAGAAACCGGAGACTTTTTTTTTTGGCCTTATTATGAAATGTTTATACCCTACTTGACTGTAAGTGAATAATAGTCTCAAGCATCCTGTGAAATCATGTCACCTGGGTGTGCTGTATAAATTTCTTGTATAAATTTCCAATGATACTTGACCGACCATCATTGAAAAAAAAATGACTTTTTCAAATACTGCCCCCAGTTTACCAGATTTATTTAGTCCACATATTGTTTGCAATCGGTTACACATCCATGAACGGGTGCAAGCCAGCTAGTCTGGTTCCCTAACCTGACAATTCCCCGACATCTATAACTACTCCGTTTCATCTGAAGTACGGTCAGGGAACCAGACTACAAGAACAGCATTGTTTCTTGGTTTTTCCAGCATCTACGATGGTTTTTTGTGTGTCTTTTTTTGGCATTTTTGGGGGCAATTCAGAACTAGATGTTTTTGTATGGGCAGATGCTGAAATGGCAGTGATGTACTTGAGAACTTTTCTGTGACCTCACAAACTGCTTACATAAGGGAGTGTCAAATTTGAGTGAACCCCAATGAAAATGGGGTAAGGCTTTTACCATGATTTACTTTAGAATAAACCAAACAGTAGGCATATTTTCTTGTTAAAGTTGATTTTCAAATAAACATTTGATGGAAAAACAGGATCTTGAAAAGAGTTCGAGATCCTGACTCTAAAAATATAAAAATAAAACATTTTCCAGACATTGAATGGTGACTCAAAACTATATAACAAGACTAGTTATTAGACTTATAATGTCTAAAAATTTAAACAATTGATAGAAATAATAAAGTCCGAAAGATCCTGAGTGCCACACTACGGAGTGGTCAGGAATGTTCGAAAACTTTGAAAGGACAATGCCTACCTTCATGTCTGTGCCACCGTGGCAGCGGAAACCGAGGAACTCCAGCGGGTAGGTACCGTTGGCTGGATTGAGGTCAGAGCGTGCCGAGATGCCATTCTCACCGCTGTAGGGCGGCGTACAATTGCATCGGGAGAGCGGATCATGCTGGAAATCATTGTACCTGAAAGAAGTCACAAAACAGGCACAGATGAAGTCACTTTCAGACTAGAAACAAGACTAGCCAAGTCTAGTAAAGCTAGTCCCAGACTGATCTAAAGCCCGGTTCATACTTCATGCGAAAGCAAGTGCGAAGCGAAATCCATGTTGTCAACAATGGTGGACGTGCTTTGAACGTATTGTTGACGTCACAAATTTTGCTTCGCTTTCGCTTTCGCGTGAATTATGAACCGGGCTTTAGTCAGAGCGCACAAAAATCATATTCAGGTGATTCAGAATGGGGTGATTCTGTAAATTTGGGATCCACTTTTTTTGTCTCCGTTACATGTGATATAAGATTTTGTAAATTGACCTCATCCGGGCAATTTAACAAATTTCGCTGGTTCCCGCACAATCAAGAGCGTAGAAACTCAGTTGTCAACCAGTCAACAGAGTGTAGTGCGTGGTACCATCCCACGCACACAAACGTGTGTTCACCGTCGATCGTGGACGTCCTATTGTCCCTCTTTTGTTTGTACTCTTAACTTTTTAGAAAGACTCCCGTAGGTTTTGTACACGACCCCAATCGCAGATGCTGGGAATCGTGGATGATATTATTCTCTTTTGTTCTCTGGTATTTTTTGTTCACGGTTGGAAAAGATGAACACGTACACATTGTCTGACTGTTGTCAACCACCACAATGGCAGCTTCGAGCGGCATGAAATTTGCATCGGTGAGCGAAGAATTTTCAAAGAAATATGAGAAATAAAGACAAAGTCCTGAAATTTATTTCTTTCGGATCAAGTCAGCCTGATATAAATAATAATAATAATAGTAATATTGGATTGGGGGGATACAAGAAGAAAATACATATGCATTGCACAACAATTTGCTTGGTCACCTGTTTTTTCTACGCAAAAAGCAAAAAAAAAAAATGTCTATGATTAGTTGTTTAGATTTTCTAAGAACTTAATACCCACTTTACTATCATGAAAAATGTAAGAATATGAAAGTTGACAAGCAGCGAACCTCATCAATTTTATCATGGACTCCATGTCGGTCACTTTGTGATGATCCCGCCGAAAGATGTTGGCTCTGGGGGTGCTGTTGTATTGCATGAACGGCCCGTACTTGGCAGCCTGCTTGGCAAAGCCACCGTTCTTGAAGATGTCTGGGAAATAACTGAAAGGAAGAATGACACCCGACTATCAATTGCAAGTTAGTGACGTGAATTTTGATGTGAAATGAATTCTACAGGGTGACGGTGAGCGACACAATGAATCTTCAAATGGTGACATCATGAAATTTGTTTCGCTTGAAGTATGACCTAGCCTTTACTCTGTATTGGCGGTGGGGGAGGGGGGGATGATCAGAGGTTCTTATCTCACCCGGGCAGACTTGAGGATTGAGTTTTTGGTCCCTGCATGATTGCTTGGATTGTCCTTGAAAATCCCAGTGTAGTGTCAAATTTAGACTTCATGAAATACGGACTCTTTGCATGTATTGTGTGTATCGTTAAAGTGCACACACTTAGGACAGTGACAGATCTTGTGTGAGGGTTAGAGTCCACATAAGGTAAAAGAGACCGGATATCATAGGAGTCCAAATTCCATATGACACCAGGTTTTCCTCCCACCTCTAAAATGAACACTTCTACCACATTTCTCCCACTACGATCTTTTATGCCGAAGTGCCTGTGCATTTAGAATAACCTTTGATTTCATGACCAGTAAGAAGTAATAAATGACGCTCAAATAGTGCGTAAAGTACAGTGGAACGCCGCAATAGCTAACACCGCTATACCGAACATTCGGCTATACCGAACATCATCCTTGGCTCCCGCTTTTAATGTGCAAAATGTACCGAACATTGTTGCTGAAAAAAGTCAACAGATTAACAAAAAAATCTTCCGATTGTACACGTATTAAACACTATTTGGGCCACTTTTAATTCCCGAACATCAAACGACCCATAGTTTGAATGTTTGAATGTTGAACATTGATAGATGGCTATTATTTCCCAAAGGAATAAAAGGGAAAACCACCCGTTGCTTAAGTATCGTGACAACTCCTCGTGCGCCTGCGGGATGTGGAAAATTCCACTTCACTATTGGTCGGTACCAGCGGTTCAAAATCACTATACCGAACGATCGTTATTACGAACACTTTCTGTGTATCCAACAATGTTCGTTATAGCGGCGTTCCACTGTATTCACAAAAACATTGACCAGTTATTCACCTTGAAAATAAAAACCACCAAACGCACACTTCAAATCAAGGACTTGTTACTGCCGTAGTGAATCTTAATGGGCTCCGTGCACCAGTACCCCCTCAACGGTAAGAAAGGGAGAGTTGGGGGAGACCACTGGGACATCGAACATCGAACACATTGCTGACGACGCTTGGCGCTCACGCGAAGATATTATGGCTTTGTGCACATGCAGAATGAAATAAAGTTGTGCATTCTTTGCGTAATACGTACGCGAACATACAATGTTTGCGTTACATACCTAGTGTGGACATTCCTTTGTTTTTGTGTAGTTAAGAAAAACCTCTGAAAAAAACTCATTTTACTCACATTGTGAAAACACTTTCAACCCAATTTTTGTTCTATGATTCCCTTTAGTGTTTCTCTTCATTTTGCCAACTCAAAAATGCCTCTAAACCTGTTTTCCAGAGAGGGGGAAACCTTGTGTGGGCGTGGGCAAGTCCACACAACGTATCTGAAAACTGGTTTATGTGGACCTCTTTTGTTCGTTAGTCCACACAGTGAATGTAATGCTTGTACAAGCATACACACGAGGTGTGTTCCATACACTGGGCTTTCGAAAGCAGTTAAAAAAGTACCTTCTCTTGTTCGCAAACAAAGCCCATATGGGAAGCTAGTTACCATTTCAGGGCGATAGAAGCGATAGAAGTCATAAAATCTACTTACGGAACATTATAACTCGGCCAGTAGGTCTGTTTTGTGAGTAACCATGTCATATCCTTCTTCTCGATCTGTCCACTGGGGGTAAAAAAAAACATAAAAAGGAAAATTCCAAGTGTGAGTTCTTCCTAAGTCAAAAAAGAGCTCTGTCAACCATCTTACAGCAGAGTTTGGGGGTGGGGGTTATTCCAATCCTCCTTCAGATCTCCACTGTCCTGTGACAATTGTTTTCTTCTGATCAGGTATGCCGCACATTATTACAAATTTTCAATCCACTCTGACAAAGGCTTTAGTTACAAATTATTGTAATTTGCAATATACTTCAAGTTCTCTGCCTGAGCATATTTTACTCTACACTATCAATGCAAAAAGTTCACATTTTTCACTACCTTGAGCTTGAAAAGGTTGTATTTCACAAGAACAGCAGTCTAATTTTCATAACTGCTATGACTTGAACACGACTTGAACACGACTTTAGCAGAACAACTCTTCAAGCTTTGTGCAACAACAAAAATTTATTGCAGTTGTTTTAAAGAAAATTTAGGGAGGGGGTTCCCCTACTCCACCCTCTTGGGGTTAATAATAACAAAATATGTTACAAACATAATATGCTTTAAAGGGAATATACATCATTTGCTTTTGCTGTAATTTTCAGAAATGGATGGAATTGGGGGGTTGGAAATATATAGCAAATATAGTTACACTGACATTTTTGAGGTTTTGGGTTCGAAAATGCTATAAAAACCAAGAAAAACAATCATTTTCCTGTAGTCTGGTTCCCTGACTCCATATAAGAAGAAACAGAGCAGTTTACATAAATTGGGGAATTGTAAGGTCAGGGAACCAGTCTAGCTGGCTTGTACCCGTTCATAGGTGTGTAATCGATTGCAAACAAGTGCGATGGTCAATTGAGGCCAGTATTTGAAAAAAAAAGCCAGTTTTTCCAACGCTGATCGGCCGACCAGCGTTGGAAATTGATACAAAAATACCACTTTTCTTGAAAATGACAGTATACCAGGTGCCATGATTTTACAGGATGCTTTACACTGTCATTCACTAACAGTCCAGCAAGGTATTTCAAAATGATTTGGTAGTTTTATTTTTTGATGTTTGCAAATGTTGTATTTTCCCTTTAAAACATATAAGCTTGGCATTTTAGGTGCTTGATAATTCCACAAAGCACAGTCTAATACTGTCTAAATGTTAAAATGTATTGTACATCACATTTTTTTATCAAACAAAAGTGAACAAATGTTCAAATCTTTGATCTTCAATTAAAAAAAATGTACACTATAACGCAGACTACTTACGGAAGTTGGTCTAATACTGCAAGGACGCCCTCTTTTGGCAATGGCTGTCCAGGTGTGAAATGCTTGTAGTCTACTACCATCCATTCATTGTTGTAGCTTTAAAACAACGCACAATTGATAGTTATACAATAGGGTCCGATCATATGAAGTCAAAGTACCACGTGACTATCTGGTTTCCCTGTGGTTGGCTGCCATGGCAGTAGGCAGGCGTTTGGTTAGCAACCACGTTGTGCATTGTAAACTAGACAGTACAAGTCATTTTCACATAAAACAATTGTCAATTGCAACTTTTTTTATCAAGTGACCTAATGGTCACTACCTGTGCCGTGTACGGTTGTCATAATCGTGCTGACCCAATAGTGGGTGTTGGCTCCGCGTTCCTCTAAAACAGTTTGTGCCATCCATCGCAGCTTTGAATGCTTTCCTACAACCTACTGCGTGGGGCGCTATACGATCGTTGCCCACTACAATGGCGATGCTGACTTTCCGAATGTAGGTTGGGTCACATGGGTGACTGATAGAGCCCTATTCATGAATTTAGGCAGTAACTCAAAAAAATGAGAAAAATAGGCAACACAGATACAGATCAAATTAGATTTTGCCCTTCACCGACGTTTGAACACTGTATACCTAGTGTGCTACCTCCCGAGTGAAAGTTGGAAAAAATCACTCCGGTGGGACTCGAACCCACGACCTCCTGCTTTCTAGTGCAGAAAGCACTAATTTGATTTATATCACCCCAACGCAAAAATTCCATCTTATAATAACAGATACAGATGCTATACATGTATACTATCAATCGTGTAAAGTCCAACTTTGAAATTAAAGATCGGTGCGCCGTCAAAAAGCGGAGGGGGGGGGGGGCACGCTATAATTATGTATAATTAATTATACATTTCTTTATGCTAGGGGGCGCTATTTGCAGATGAACATGCAATTTATGTATGGACAACAGCTTTTAAGCCATTTCTAACACAGTACAATACTAGCTCGGCATCATCTTTTTTTAACAGTCAGTGACCAGGGACTCCGAGGCAAATTGGCCTTGAGACTTTTGGTCTGATGGATTGCTACAATGGGCAGGCTTCTCAGTTTGACAAGTGTTGCATGTTATTACTTTTGGCAGAGTTTCTGGCCAAATATACCCTGGAGGGTAAGGGTAGTCCCACGTGTTTGTCTATGGCAGACAACTTTTTAAGCTTGGCTGCAACTTTTGAAGCTTGGCGGGCGCCTCAGAAAGCTTGGCGGGGCATCAGGTTGGAGAACACTGATACACTCTTGATGCCATGCTTAACATCCATTTCACATTTACCAAAAAAGACAGCCTTTCTTTACACATTACCAATTGTTACAAACAAGTAAAAGTGTGAAGATCTAAGCACCCCAATAAAACAGATAATCTCTAGCACTGCCTATTAAAGCAGTTAAAGCTTTAAAGCCAGAGTCCATCATTTTCAGCTATCCAAAAAGTAACTGGCGTAATTATTGTTGAAAAACATACTTGATTGAAAGATAGTAAGGGGACTAAACTCCCTGTGAAATTATTCTTGCTGGCAAGCTGTCATTTTGAAAAAAACAACAAAAGCAGGCATTTCCAACGGTGCTTCTTAAGAAGCACCGTAGGAAATTCAAATTAGTAGTTCGTTTTGTTATTCGGTGAAGCGCACGCAAGCATTAGCACGACACACATGCGCGCGGTTGTTACAATTCGTCGGATCAGTGCACGACATCGCGTAGCTGCAATGGGCTCGGACGCTGAATTCAGGCCCAATTCAAAACATGATTCAGCAACTTTTGATTTGAAATTGAGATCCTAGAATGCTGTTTTTCTCGGAATATACAGCTGAAGCTGAGCTGAAACTTCATCAGGTTAGTTGTTCAGCACCCTTCTTTAGATCTTGAGCACTTTTGTTGCTTCAAACGAACAAAATGCACAAATTACAAATGATGGACTATACCTTTAAATAATTTGCATTTATCCAAAAAGTAGCCTACAGAATTATTCCGTCTGGCTTGCTGTCGTTTAGAAAAAATGTAGGTGATTTCCGACGATCATTCAATTGACTGATTGTTCGAAATAAAGACTGCTATTGACAACATCAATTTTCGTGTTCAAAAATTGTGCATGGTTTTTTCACTGTTTTCTCAAAAAGTGTAATATCCACCGAGCTGAAATTTCAATAGATTAGGTTCTGAACAGTCTTCATAAGAATTTAAGTGGTATGATTGGAAACGAACAAAATGCATGAAAGCAAATGATCCTATATGAAAAGACGAGTACTAAATCACGTCTTGCAAGAGTGTGTCCTCTGTGTTCTTGAAACAGAGCCCTCATTGAAGTTCCACCTTCAGTACTCGTGATCATGATTATTGTTGCTACTAGTGCAGGGCCCGTCGAAAAATGCGCCTGTTCGGTGGGGGCAATTTCAAACTGCTCATGCAAACAACGCACACGTTTCAATTGTGTTGTTTTCACAGGTTGAACTCACACTCACAGGTTGAACGCACTTTGTACATGTGGCCAGGCCATCCCCAGCACTGATATTCACCCATACTGGACAATGGTATTGCCCTACAGTGATGGTTGCTCAGTCGCCTGCAAAACGCATGTGCCCGTGCACTGCGTGCAACTACTCACGTACGTGAGTTACGGAAACATGGTACGCAGTGCATGATATTCACCCATACTGGACAATGGTATCGCCCTACAGTGATGGTTGCTCAGTGGCCTGCAAAATGCATGTGCCTGTGCACTGCGTGCAGCTACTGACGTACGTGAGTTACGGAAACATGGTACGCAGTGCATGATATTCACCAATACTCTGGACAATGATCGCCCTACAATGCGTGCGCCCATCCTTTTTCCATTGTTGCGTCATATTGAGCATGCGCGCTTAAGCTCAAACATGACGTAAACAATTGAAAAGGACTGTGCGTGTTCTAGGCTATAATCTGCCACGTTGAGGCTCAGAAAATGCTGCTTTTCTGCAGCTTTTTCGAGAACTGCTCGTCCAAACAACTTCCAACTTGGCACTGCACATTCTGTGGCCCCGAGCAATATACCCGCCAATGTTCAACTTCATACGGTGCCCGGTTCTAGAGATAATCCAAATACAGACAAACAGAAAGACAGGGATTCCTGGAATTATAGTAAGGATGCCGTTCTGCTAATTTTTTTCCCCAACAAGTTGCCAAACTCACGTGCCACTGTTGTACTTGCTGAAGATATCCGTCCACTCCATGACTGAATTGGCGAGGCGATTGGCGAGAAGGGTGCGCATCCATTCCAGAACAGTCCCCTTGGATTTCACATACTTCCATAGGTCTGGGTTGTCATTACCTATTGTCGTTTCCATGGAAACCTATATGACAAACATATCCGCACTTTACAAGTAGCAATGAAGTAAAGTAAGTAAAGTCTGTCACGACCCAATGTGGTCCATCATGCCATCGTTTCTCTCTGGTTTCAGTGGCATGAAACGACTGAGAATATTTCTATTCCCCTGGATGGGATGCTAGTCCATTGCATCGCCCCCACTTGCCTTACTCCACCCAGGAGTATAAATGGGTACCAGCATTAGCTGGGGAGTAACCTGCGAAGGACTGGCATCCCATCCAGGGGGAATAGAAATATTTTCAGTCGTTTCATGCCAAGGAAACCGGAGGTAAACGCCGGCCTGATGGGCCACATTGGCTTGTGATGGACTTTACTACTTACAGTCTGAACTACCAGATCAAACGGTGATTGCCCACTGTAGCATATGGTAGAATTCAGCATTGTTGCGATTAATACAGTGAAGAAAAAAATCATCCAAAGATGTACCTATACTGATTACAGGATTCGAAAAAAAGTTGAAAACTCCGACTTACCAGACCTGAGCCCATGATGTAATAATCGTCGCCAGAGAGAAGCGGGCCATGGTAGGAGGAAAATGAGACCTCACGACCAGGAACAAAGGCAGACGCTGCAGGCAAAGTGGACAGAAAATTTGAATAAAACCTAGACATGAACACTGGGGTTTCTACAAAAAAAGAAACGCATTGGCAATGTAGCTTGAAATCCTTAAGAAACCTTGAGATATAAGATGTTGAAGAAATGTTCAGGTTGGGAGGTGGGAGAAACCCTTAATTATTATTGCAAAAGGAAACCCACTGGAGCAGCCCCCCCCCCCTCCCTCCTCCCTCCCTCCCCCCACCCAGGCACATACAGGCATATTATTTCTACCTAATGATCAGATATGATCACTGATCTCTATATAAAGACTGGATAGCTAATAAAGAGCCGCACAATGTACGAATTTGACGCCATATTGCTGAGACCGGCTGGTGATCTACAAAGGACAAGTTGTCATTTTTATAGACAGCATGATTTCTTTTGTAACGTCGCAGTTCACTTGACTTATATTTTGACCACCATCACTGACCAAGGTTAACTACAATTTTTCTAACGTTGTGGTTACTAAAATGCCGCAAATATAACTTTTTCGGCGTTTTGAAATAATAATCACTATGGAAATGTGTCCCTTTTAGAACATCATAATATGTGTACATGACCAAAATGCGCGTCAACTGTTGATACAACGCGCGCGTATTTACGCGTAGAACGTTCGTATTATACGCGGCCATCTTCGTGAGATCGGGGGCGAATTGGTCAACATGCAAAGTCTTCTGTGTGAATGTTGTATGCATATCCGCTATCCAGTCTTTATATAAAGATCAGTGGATATGATAGCCACAGTCAGCAAAATGCCACAGCAGGGGCAGACCGCCCACGATGTCAATTCGTTGTTTAAAAAAATTTTTAAAAATAATGAAAGTTGTTATGTTCTAATATCAATTACACAGTTCATGAAAAGAGTTTTCAAGTGTTTCAAAAGTAACAGAAATATTGTGCAAAATCTGAGTATGTTCTTCAGAAGAAAAAATCACAACTTTTGCCTAAAATCAGAAATGCTCTGAAAATACATGTACAACATTGCACACCAAGAAAACTTTGGTCACTAAAATCATAATGTATCACATTTGCAAACATCAAAAAACAAAATTACCAAATCGTTATGAAATATCTTGCTGGACTGTTAGTGAATGACAGTCTAAAGCATCCTGAAAAATCATGGCACCTTGTGCGCTGACATTTTCAAGAAAAGCGGTATATTTGTATCAATTTCCAACGCTGGTCAGCCGACCAGCGTTGAAAAAAACTGGCTTTTGAAATACTGCCCCCTACTTACCATATTTTGTTTTGTCTGAATTTTGTTTGCAGTCGGTTACACATCTGTGAACGGGTACAAGCCAGCTAGGCTGGCTCCCTGACCTTACAATTCCCCCGACGTCTATAAATTGCTCCATTTCAATTTAACTGGGGTCAAGGAACCAGACTACAAGAACAGGATTGTTTTTCTTGGTTTTTCCAGCATCTACGAACACAAAACTTCAAACAAGTCAGTGTAGCAATATTTGCCATAAAATACTAACCCCCCAAATCCATCCATTTCTGAAAATTTCAGCAAAAGCAAATGTTGTACATTCCCTTTAACAGTTGAGTCCAATGTATGTATGTACTTACATTTCGGAGACATCCTGAAAGCAAAGTTGTACTTTTTCACGACCCTGAGCATGCTCCCGTACTCCGTCCAAGTGTCATGCGAAACAAAGAGATCCTTGTTGCCTGGCAACAACTTGATGAGGGCTGAGCAGTGGCCGGCAAATCTGCCGCGTTTCTGGCCGCTATCGGCCTTCAGGGCCGTCTGGATGTCACCAAGATCGCCATCGGCTTGGAAAAGGCTGCATAGAAAAGTCCGGGATCTTTCAGAATTTGACATCTAACAAAACCTTCACATATAATGTATAGATGTGACGTTTAAACGAAAAAAAAGTCAAATCTGTTTAGAAGTTTTAACAAACGCTTAAACAGAACTCAAATTTCTAAAATGGGACCTTGTATTTACTCAATCTATCCTCCAGTTTTATTTGCAAAGAATCTACGATGTTTGTAAATCTATTTATTTACAAAGCATTGGAAATGCCTTTAGTACTTGATCACATTCCAAGAGGTTAAGTTGATACATCTCTCAATGACCGGCAACTATCTATTGTGTCAATGATACACAGTGTATTGTTTGTGTTTGATTTTTTTAATATGCCGCTGGGCCAAGATCAATGCTCGACATCCTCTCCTAGTGCGATTTTGATTAAAATATTGAGTTTTCAAACAATTCTGAGTCTATCATTTTTCTTTCTTTTTTTCTCTGAACTTGAATTTGCTGAAATCATTAGTTGGTGTGTTTTGCAGTAATCAAACCAATGGCAAGCACTTTCATAATGACTTTTAAAACCAGCAAGGAAAAAAATAAAAACAGCTACCCCCTCCCCCCCCCCCAAAAAAGAAGCTACGAAAGTAGAGGCGTTATTAAAATGATGTATTTTGATGCATTTAGGGTAATTTTTTTTCCCCTAGGGCTGTAAACCCTACCGTTCCCTTAAGACAAATTTCATTTGAAGTCACTGTGTCTTCATTACAAGGAAAACGATGACCCTGCATATTTGGTGTTGGCCCCCGGGGGTAAAATAAAAAAATATTCTCCTAAAATATGAACCCATGGGGAAGGACACCTGTTTTTCTTATTCTTGTCAGTTAACATTTTCCCCAACGGTGGTGCAGTCGTAAAAAAAAAACCTTGTCATGTTAAAAATACGAGTATTAAAAATACGAGTATGAAAAAAAATGTACTTGAATGTGAGTACGAGTCCGAGTATGAGTCCTACAACAATGTCTCGATGAAAATTTCTTTACTGGTCTGCACCTATCACGCCACATCATTAAAACATTCATTGTTCTCCAACTGAACAATGTTGGGAAGGAAGTGATCTAAATTTAGCCCGTTTTAAAAAAGACAGGAACTCTTATAGATACAGAACTTACAGGAAACCGAACGGGTCAATGTCGATGCTGGGTCTGTCGGGTTTGTTCATGTAGCCATCTTTCAGTCCATCCACCTGAACTAGGATAAGGCCCATCTGAGAATCATAACGTACAAAACAGTGCTGATCAATACTAGGCCAGACTATGAATTCATCCATTAATGGGTCGACCTCATCTAGAATAAGGCCCGATTAAGAATCCGAAAAGACAAAACAGTGATTGTTGAATGTATACATTATTTCGGCCATCATGGATCCAGGGAACGTTGACACATATTCCAGTTATCTATATTTTTAAATGTTTTTATCAATATTTTTAAAAATACTTCTTACATAAAATGGGACTCATTTCCATGTATTGAGTCAGAATTTTGTTTTTTCAAATGTAATTTTTTTTGCAAGCAGTAGACAGAAAATGTTCCCCTTTATTTTGAAATGCAAGATTAATAAAAAACCAAAAACAAAGATATGCCCCCCAAATATTGTGCGTTTACAGTAACACAATGTATCTGGATTTTTTGCGGCCACATTGCCTAACTCAAACTACTTATTACCACATTTGGTAAAAAACATTAAAGGAAGAATATTTTGAAAATAAAGTCTTTCCTATGTGAGTTTCCAAACTGTAAAAGATTGACAGACATATGTTTGTTTCCTACCTACTGACCTATACTTTTTAGGGCGTTACCGTGAACTCACGTAAACTCACACATTTCCATTTTATCGGGGGAGGGGGGGGGAGGGCCCTTACTCTACACTTTCCACAAATTTTGTGGAGTGATGTGGCCTCCTGGTCTGGAGCATTGAATCTGTGGTCTGCAGGTAATTCTGCAGGTTGTGGGTGCGAGCCCAGCCTGGGGTTATGGTGCGTGTGCCCTTGGGCAAGGCACTTTGTCACTCATTGCTTCTCCCCACCCAGGAGTAAATGGGTACCTGTGAGGGCAGAGATGGTGATTGTGGTTGATTTTAACTGCTTTGCGATGAAATGGCTGCATTGAACTGTACACTCCCCAGGAAGCTGAGATGGTCTTTGGAATGTTTCATTGGCCCAATGAGCAGGGTAATAATGATGTAGCGCCTTGAGCACCAACACCGGTGGATATATCTGCTATATAATTACATAACCTACTCATAAGATGGAATTTGCGTCGGGGTGATGTAATTCAACATTAGGTTTTTGCCCTTCGTGTAAACACTGTATACTCAGCGTGTTACCTCCCGAGTGAAAGTTGCAAAAAAATACTCGAGTGGGACTCGAACCCAAGACCTCCTGCTTTCTATTGCACACGTCTTATCACTAGACCACCGAGCTTGCGGGATCGGTCTGGTGGTTTGAATCTGATGTACATGTAGCAGCGGGTATTGCACTTAAACTATTCATGAGAGTCCCACCCGAGTGATTTTTCCAACTTTCACTCCGGAGGTAACACATCGAGTATACTGTGTTGATACGTCGGTGAAGGGAAAAACCTAATATTGAAACAAATACACATTATTATTGTTGGATTTGGACTACAATGTGTGTGTAGATGCACGGGTCACCCACCTGATAGAAGTACGGGTCGTTTGGATTGGCCTTCACCTGCTGCTCCATCCATTCTAGGTTCTCCGTCAGGAAAGCCTGGATCTTCAGACAGTCAGACGTCATGTAATGGCAGAAGCTTGCCATGGTGTTAAACCACTCCATGTAGATGTAGTCTGCCGTGAGGAAGCCCTCCACCAGACCGGCAGCGTAGGCTTGGAGGGTGTCATTGTACTCGGGGCTGGTAGAGACTGTCAAATAGTTCCATCTGAGTGAGAGAACACACAGAAATTCATAGGATACTTTATTGGTCATGCTTTGATACAAATTACAAAAACATGATTAGGCCATGTAAAAAAATTACTGCAAGTGAGACTTGCGCGATCCCCCTGGCATGCTGGCAGTTTTTATACAGTCAGTTAGTACGGATACTTGTCAGTGTCCCTAACCAAAATGGAAGATTTCTATTGTTTTAGCAGTATTGACCTTGACTTTTGACCTTTCGGCCTCAAAAGCAATAGGCTTCTTAAGACTGCCAAGAACAACCCAAAAACCAAATTTGAAGTTCCAAAGAAAAGTATTTCTCAAGTTATGGCTTGACAAGATTTCTATTGTTTTCGCAATAGTGACCTTGACCTTTGACCTGTCGGCCCCGAAAGCAATATGCTTCTTGAGACTGCCAAGAACAACCCACAAACCAAATTTCAAGTTCCTCAGTAAAGTATTTCTCAAGTTATGGCGTTGACAACATTTCTATTGTTTCAGTAATAGTGACCTTGACTTTTGACCTGTCGGCCCCAAAAGCAATAGGCTTCTTTAGACTACCAAGAACAATCCACAAACCAAATTTCTCAAGTTATCGTGCGGAGAAGAGTTAACCCATACCAAAGCATAACACACAGACACACAGACATACATACAGACATACAGACATACACACGGAAGGAATACGCTATCGCAATATCTAAAAACAAACCAGTTTCTCGTCCCCTCCCGCTTCTGTTTTTCCCGGCCGCCTCCCTTTTTTTTTTGCACATTATATTGTCAATATATTGTCTTTTTATTTGTTCCTAACAAAACTGGTTGCTATGTAGAAAGGGTTATGCCTCTAAATTTGGATACAATTTTGTATCAACAAAATAGTCGAAAAAATTGAAATATTAATCTGCTTTCTTGGAAAATCCACCATCTTGGGAACTAGCCCCATAAATGTGGCCTATTTACTGGACTGCCTCCGTAAACATAGGCCACACATCCACATGTACAAAAACAAGTCGCACTTTGCCAAATTTTGATTTTCACATTTAGGCTTAGTTTGTAGGTTTTTTTTGCTTTAGAAGCATACTCACCCTCTTTATAGGCTAATCAGAAAGTGCTGCCTTTTTCAGATGTCTAATTTTTGTGAAATTTCATGTTGAAATTTTGATACGCAAACATGTAAAAATGAATCTGGAAATTTCACGAAAAATATACATCTGAAAAAGGCAGCACTTTCTGATTCGCCTATAAAGAGGGTGAGTATGCTTCTAAAGCAAAAAAAACCTACAAACTAAGCCTAAATGCGAAAATCAAAATTTGGCAAAGTGCGACACGTTTTTGTACATGTGGATGTGTGGCCTATGTTTACGGAGGCAGTCCAGTAAATAGGCCACATTTATGGGGCTACTTGGGAACCAACACTGAAACAAAGAAGCGCCCACCTCCTTCATTTTTTCGAAATGGCTGGACGAGAAATTGTTTTTTTTTTTAATTTAGCCAGTTGGCGCGATGAATGAAAGCCGCGGGGGGTATGGTGTAGGAGCGGAACGATAGTATGCGCATGCGTACAAGTGCAAGTACGTACCCCCCGCGGCGCGCTCCGAGCGATCGAACCGAAAAATGACTGCGATCATTCTGCGCGCGTGCACGTTTCAATTGTCAGGTTGGCTCAGTGCGGAAAGGGCATATTTTTCATCATTTTGGCCTAAAAACAGACAGAATCCACCGATGTTTGTTGGGTGCACATAACGTGAGTATGTCATGAGGTATTGTACGGAGTTTAGGGGCAAACTGTGCAGCGGTTCTGTGGGAAAAAGCTTGGTTGGGATGGACGTTTTTGTACTTAATTAGTGTTTTGTGCTGACAACAATTTTGCGGGGTTCTGAACCTATGAGGCTCCACTACATGTAGCCCCACTAGTGTGGCCGTCGGTATGCTGCGCTGAACCTCTGGCCACACACCGTGGTACCGCGCGCTACTGAGGACGAAGTTTTCATAAAATTCAGGGCAGTTTCTTACATTTTCAGTTTCTTACTTTCTTATGGTTGTATTCTATGTCTCACCTATCACTTCTGGGATGCTTAGGTCTAATGATGTTCCATTTTCCGAGATATTCTTCAATCTTTCTGGAGCCCATATGCACTCGTGAAACGTCTGGTGGTGGCAGCCATTTTGAATGTGACAAGAGATGACCTCAAACTGTGACGTCGCGTTTATGCAAATTGCTTGTCGAGCGCGCGAGGGCGCGAGTTGCAAATGCGACGGCTGTTTCCTGTGCCGTAGATCCTGAATAGAGATCGGTGCACGTGGCCCCCTGACGATAAATGCATGGTACAGGAAACAGCCGTCGCATTTGCAACTCGCGCCCTCGCGCGCTCGACAAGCAATTTGCATACACGCGACGTCACAGCTTGAGGTCATCTCTTGTCCCATTCAAAATGGCTGCCATCACCAGACGTTTCACGAGTGCATATGGACTCCAGAAAGATTGAAGAATATCTCGGAAAATGGAACATCATTAGACCTAAGCACATGCTAAGCATCCCAGAAGTGATAGGTGAGACATCATAGAATACAACCATAAGAAAGTAAGAAACTGAAAATGTAAGAAACTGCCCTGAATTTTATGAAAACTTCGTCCTCAGTAGCGCGCGGTACCACGGTGTGTGGCCAGAGGTTCAGCGCAGCATACCGACGGCCACACTAGTGGGGCTACACTACATGGAGCCTCATAGTTCTAGGAGTTCCTATCGACATCAAGATAATACTGGGCCAAACATTTTGTGACATGAGAGGAAAGATTCCCATATCTGGTCATCACTGTTAATTTTTTTTCCTTCAGTGACCTATCACAGTATAGGGCCTTTGTCCTAAAATTATTTTTTTTAAGAAAAAGTCAAATTTAGCAGGGAAAATATTGAAGTATTCACTGAGAAAACTTTTAGAAATGTTCAGACCAGTCACATAGGGTTTGTGCACAGGGTGACAAGTGATGGCCAGATATGGGAATCTTTTCATCCGTCACTTGTTTGTAAAAACCTTACAGTTTACACTACAGTTCTGGAAACAGACTGAAATTTGTACACAACAACCACTGAAGTATTGGAAATTGGAAGTGGCGTCCTAAGTTTTCCGAAAAGAAATTGAACCAATTCCAATCATCATTTAAATCAACAACTGAACAAGAAGGTTTTACAAGTGCAAAGCATTATCCAAACCGAGTGCCGTCCAGCCACAGCATGCACAGGTTTCTTTGTACCGTCACAGCCTAGGGTACCATGCAGAGCCATCGTGTCTCGCGCTCGCTCGAGTGCAGTGACTGACTTTGTTTTCGAGCCTACGTACCCCGTTTGTTGTTGATGGTCAGTGAAGTTCGCCCATGCGACGCTAGAATTCGGATGATATCCGTCCACTAATTTTAGGGTCATGGTAGCTGGATCCAACACAACAGAAACACATCTTGAACTTGAAGGCTGCTGGACAGCTGCGTTGGCAGAAATAAAACCAACCAGCAAGAAATGATACAGTGTTACTCCAGAAATTGCCATTTTATTTCTTTGGACTTCGAGTTTTACACTGGCCCCATGTCATGCATGTACATGTACTGCACTGGCCGATAGTCAGCTGACCCGATAGCCGATCTGTGAAAGTTGTCATAATACATTAGTCGGTCGTAGCTTCCAATCACCAAATTAATGTTGCTAATGTAATAGCAGGCGACTGGGGACACGACGAGACTGGTTTTTATTTAGTCTTTAATCAAGCCGTCTTGTATTTCGACGGATGTTTTAAAAAGTAGAGGGCGCTATTTGCTCCGAACGATCATGCGGACATATGCGGCTCTCCGCTGCGCACGAAGTCAAGAGTCGGCCTCTCCTCCCGATCAGCCTACAATTTTGAACAATTTGAAATTTAAACGTACTAGTTTTTAGAACAATTGTTACCAACGGGTTATAGAAGATATTGTAACGGACAGTTGTATATCACTAGCCGCTGCCGCAGGCAAAAAAAAAAGCCCGCCGGATGTGGGGCTCGGTCCGCGATTTTTTCCCCGTATCTATAGGTTAGTTGCTCGATATGATGCATAATTCAGTTTTCCTTTGAATCGTTGCAAGACACTTAGGTTCTTGTATCCTTTTTCTCCCTTAAAATAAAATTATCTCAAACGATAAATTCAGAGAAGACAACTTGTCGATGAAAATGAGCAGCGACGACGCGGATTCAAACCAGGGATCTTTGTAGACGGCATAGCTCATCACGCTATCCGCAAGGCTACTGTCGTAGCTCGACGACATCCGTACTTTAAAATGCTTTAAAGGTAGCCGATTGACTTAATAACAGCAATGCTCTTGGTAGTATTGTTCTGTTTCATGAATAAACATACTGGCCCGATCGAAACTATTGAATTATTCATGACTTTGGAGCACCCCGCCTGCGATTTTTTTTTACGGAAAAGAAATTCGCTTCCGGCGGCACATTTTTGACGCTTTTGGTACGCTGACGTGCGGACACCAAACATCAGAAAATAAAGAATATAAACTTTATTCTCTAGCTTTTTCAGATATCAGTTATTAACATAAATCCACAATCGGGACATACACGACAAGGGCGTCTATCGCTTTTCAAAATGGGGGGGGGGGGGATCGCGGCCGGGGGGGGGGGGGGAATACTTTTATCAGAACTTACTTGCGAGCGCTACCGAATTAAACCCTTACAGCGCTGGGTCCCCTTAAGCAGGTCCCGAAACATTGTGGACTCTAGACGCTCTGTGGTGCAATCTGAGTCAATTTCTGACGACTTTAATCAATTTTTTAAACAAAACATTATCATTTCCTAGTTCGGAGTCATTGAATCACGTATGCTGCAATTTTTATTTGGAAACAAAAAAGGGTGTGAGGGACCCGAACAATTTTTGGTTCTACACGCTCTGCGGTATAATTTGAGGCAATTTCAGACTAATTTAGCCAATTCTTTTTAGCCAAAGATTACCATTTTAAAATAATTAATTTCAGAGTCATTGGGTCAGCTATTCTAACGTCGGGGACGAAAAAAGTGGGGGCTGACATAATGAAACCCCCGGCCTCCACTTTAAAAATTGCTCCACCCCTCCCGTCCCACACAGATTGACGCCCATGGGACGTACGAAGAATGACCGCGACGTGTGCTGCTATATAGCCACAGTCAGGTAGTTCTGTTCTGAAATTGCCTTATTTTTCAAGCCATGCAGATGAACGAAAATTCAAAATGGTACTTGCAGCCGCCATATCAAAATGCTGAATGAGGAGGCAATTAATAGAATTTCTATACGAAAATAATAAAGCCAGCAAAACAAATAACTCTCCGCAATTTCACCAAGCGCAACTGCCCGATTGGCCCATATTTAGGGGTGCTGGGCAGTACTCGTTCTCGACTCGACTCGAGAGTCCACTTGAGACTCGATTCGACTCGATTTGACCTTCTTGACCTAAAGACTCGACTCGAGTCACTTCTTTATAAAGAATCGAATCAACTCGAGTCACAAAAATCAGTGATTCGTTGCAACTCCTAGGGGCAAAAGCCTGATGTGTCCAAAAAGAAGACGACATTTGTTAACATTATCCCCATCGAATCAACCTCTAAGGGGCCGGGCGAAATCCGCCCCCCCCCCCCCTTCAACTTTTTCCGCGATAGCCTCGAAAAGTGTTTGTTTTTTTTGCGACCCGAGCTGTCTATAGTCATGAAATTTCTTGGGTATGTTCATGATAAGTAATGCATGAACCGAGTTTCATAATTTTTCGTCACTCGATGGCCGAGATCTTAGGGGGGGGGGCGGAATCCGTCCCACCCCCAGCTGAGAGATGGTCAACAGAACCCGGCCCTTTTAGGGTTAAGTTATCATTGCTCCTAGGAAAGGCGAAAAACCAAATCTTTCTGGGGAAAGAAATTGGGAAAATCCCTTCCGGCTCCTTAGGCGATCAACTTTTCTTTGGACTGTGGTGCAAATTATCGCGAGGCATTATGAATTATGAAATGAGTTTGAGATATCAATTAATTTCCAGCATCTCTGTGTTTCTCTTATGGAACCATAGCGCAAAGTACAATAATTGAAAACTACCATGTTGAAGTAGCTGTTACTACCAAAGCATATATGAAAACTTTCAAGCTATATAGTTAGTCATATAAATGCTTACTATAGTTACAGAACTAAAGGTCCGACTGGGTTGAAAGTTGATGTGTATGGGATGTGTTATAAATGGAAATTAAAGTGACGTCACGATGACGTCATCATGGGTCACGTGACGTCACGTTTAAGATTAAAATATTTAATCTTTGAAAATCAATATAAAATCAACTGAACTTGACGGTTGCGGGAATTGATAGAGTAATCCATGATCTTTATTTTATCTCATGTGTGCTGAATCACGTGACCCTTCCTTCCGGACCAAACAGGAAAAGCCTGTGTATAAGTTGAAAGTGGAAAAAGAGGTGAACTTGCTTTCAACGATGTCAGTTTCAGGCTAGGTTGTACTTTACAAAATAAATTACCAGTGATGTCATAAAATGTTAATGCGCCCTCTAGCGGCAGGTTAAAAACATGTTACATGTTACATGTTACATTGTCACAAAAAAGTTGCCGAACAGCCTTGTGTTTGTCCACGCAAAAACATGAGTCTAGTTAGTCATTTTAAACGCTACTCACTTTTCATTTGATTCAATACGATGAGTACTCATTTAATGAGTACTCATCGTATTGAATCAAATGAAAAGTGAGTAGCGTTTAAAATGACTAACTAGACTCATGTTTTTGCGTGGACAAACACAAGGCTGTTCGGCAACTTTTTTGTGACAATGTAACATGTAACATGTTTTCAAAAACAAGATACATTACAAAAATAGCAAGAGGAATATTTACGACCCAATACAAAGAAATCATCAAAAGCTGGAATGTAATGTAGAACATTTCAAGTTTTAAAGTTACCCAGAAAATCCACACTAGCCAACAACTTGATCTGCTCCTTCTTAAATTCATATTGAGTACAAACTGCGCATCAACATGATAATATAGAGAAACTAGTAAGTATTATTACAATAAATAGGGGTGGTCAGGCTATAAACAGATCTGGGTCAAGCACGTAATTATAGCGGCACGTGCGGTTAAATATATAAGTTTCTAGATCACACAGGACAAAGTAGGCCAACACTTGGTTAAAGACCACCGGTAATGCCTAATATATTTATAGGAAACCTTGTGTCAACCACGGTGTCAACTAAATGAGAATGGCTGTCTGAAGAGTTTAACAGGCCATGTTCAAATATGATTGTTACGGGCTCTTTGCACCGACAAGAGGTCGCGTTTTTACCACTTTTGAGGGCACCGTGGACGGTCCCCCCCCCCCTCCCTCACGACTCGGGCAATTAACATACGAACAAGGCTTTTTGTTTATAAACAAATAATTGCCTATAAATGCTAACGACTAATGTATTCGTTCACAGAAACCATATTGAATCTTTGTAAATTCCTTCGAAAAATTAAATCCAAAATATGAAAAAATCACGGGGATTATGTAGTGCCCCAGTGAATAGACCTCTTGCAGACGCGTTCGATAATTGACGCGCTAAGGTGAGCGACGCCATGTTATGGGACAAAATGTGCGTGGATAGATATACGCCTGTCCCACAACATGGCGTCGCGCGCGGCGCGCGTCGATTATCGAACGTGTCTGCAAGCGGTCTATATGCCTGCCATGCAAGTCTGTCTTGCAGTAGACCAGTCTACCAGTATATCTTATATAACACGTGATGTATCGCTTCAACAACAAGAACAAAACATCACGTGAATTCGCACGTGCGTACGCAAGTTCAACTTTTATCATCTCGTGACCATGATCTGTACAATGATTTTGCAGATCAGACTGTACAAAATTGAAAGAAGGCACAAAGGTCGATCGATAACAAAAGCAAACAAAGGCCATTGCTGTCGTTGAGGTTCACTGCATTCATTTTACATTGCTGGGTAGAGGGACATCGACGTTATTAATTCAGCGGTTGCAAGTCGAGTTGTTGGTCGGTACTGAAGTTCGTGAAAGATGAGTCCTAGCTCCGTTCTCCGTTTGTTCGCTTTGGTGGCAGCCGCCGCCATCTTGGCTGTAGAGGCAGATAACTATTGCTGCACAGCACCGCAGTATGTAGCCTCGTTGGGTAAAGTTCAATATTTGACGTCATTTTAGTTTAATATTCCAACCACCTCCAACCACTCCCATCACCCCACCACCCAACCATCCCCACCACCATCTCCAAACCACCACCATGGCACACGCACCCCACCACACAACCACCCACCAACAACCACACCACCCACCATCCAACCACCCCACACCTACCACCCAACTAAGTGGACACACAGTTTCGGGGGGAAATTGGTGTGTTTTTTTGGCATCCTCAAGAAAAATTGTGTTCTGGAACCGTCCTTGATATGTACATGGCATGTGGTACACACACACACAGGCTGATAAGCTCTGCACAGTCTACTTTGTAAAACGAAAAGCATTGGTTGTGATAAACTTTGCCCACGTCTCGTATTTGCTGGTACCAAGTACGCCGTGCTACGAGTCAAATCCCTTTGGAAAGGCGACAAAGGGCGCACATGATGACGTTAGTAGTCCTAGATCCTATACAGACCCATCCAAGTTGCCCTCTTTTTGTGATTAAGTAAAGTTCGATTGGGCTGGCTTTTCACCATTGCCAAGTACGCCGTGCTACGAGTCAAAGCCCTTTTGAAAGGCGACAAAGGGCGCACATGATGACCGTAGTCCTAGATCCTATACAGACCCATCCAAGTTGCCCTCTTTTTGTGATTAAGTAAAGTTCGATTGGGCTGGCTTTTTACCATTGCTGGGACACTCCAAATGTTGCGTTGGTATTTCAACATGCACTTGCGATTGGCGCTCAGCGCATGGAAGCGTCCGATTACTAGCTACCACGACCGCCACCAGAGTGACCTAGGTAGCGGCCATGTTAGCGGGCATTTTTTTTAATGTTAATTCAGGAACGATGAATGCACTAAAGGTTCACTGATGCATTTTTATATCAGTCTATTTCAATATCAGATTGTTGTATAATTTGCATTGACTGCTTTCGCCTTCGAAGGGGTCCTTCGTGATAGAATTCATGGCGTGCCCGGATCACGGTCTCTACCATTGCACAGACGCTGTAGGGAAGGTTGTACTATACGAGGCTTCCCCAATGTGAGGTTATTTTTTTTTCAAGGCTGGTTCCATATGTTTTACAACATACCGGATGTGACGTAGTAAAAGAGGTTCAGAAACCCACATCACCACATCACCTCAACTAATTTCCGTTGTCACATATTTCAGGCCAGATCCAGGGTCTCTCGTTACCCTCCGGCCAAGGAGTTGCCCAGCTGAACACCATTGACATGGCTGCAGACTTCACAAATAACAGAGCTGGCGAGGAAATCACATCTTTCAGTTTCGGAACGTCCACCAAGATAAAAATCATCATTGACTACAAGAACGTTCGTATTACAATTCTCAAATCCATCCCCTCCCTAGAATATTATTATTCCATTGATTAGCCTTTTTTGGACAATGGACCCTTCCTTGTCATGCAAGCTGCGCATTGACTAGTCTGGTTCCCAGACCAAAAGATTCTGACTATTCCTGATGAATCTTAGGTCAGGTAGCTTCCAGTAATGCATTGTATTACAATTAACGTCACGTGACTAAAACGGGAGGAATTCCTCCTTTTTACGAAAATGTCCGAAGTTTGCCGAGTTCATCTCGTCGACGATCGGATAGTGCCCAAGTATTTCCGAGTATAGTATAGGTTTAATTAACTGCTAAATAATTATTAAAAACTTTTGAAAATGAGTTGATAATTAATATTAATTGCTTTCATTAAGAAAACTTGAAATTCATAGACGATTTCGAGCATCAAGTATACTCGGATCGTATGGGCGAACTTTTTGCTGCGTCATGTGCAACCTCGTCCCCAGTGCTTACTATATTTTCAACCTCGTTTAGTGATGGGCACGGACTGCTCGACACCCTGGGGACGAGGTTGCGTCATGTACTATTTTGAAATTAACGACCGTTACCGAGATTTTTCAAAACTCAGTCTTCATTCGACTCCGCCTGCTAACAGTGCTATTTGGGTGCTAATTTTGAAGATTCCAGATCAACATTAGTCAATGTTATCTTACAGAAATAGCAAACTGTATTATCATAACTGTATGATATTACGAAGCAAGTGATTTATTTACAAATTTGATCAGAACATTAAAAGATATGAAGCGAAATCGGAAACTAAGCCGAGCTTTGAAAAAGAGCCGCCAATGTCGTCATGTTTATTTTTAGCCACGGAGGCTGCCTGACCTACGTGAGCGTCGGGAATAATTGTCAGGTCTAGGGAACAAGACTACGCATTGACCAATCAGATCACGGCTGTTGGTCAGGTGACAAAGGTAGCTCGGTCAAAAATGTACAAAACCAAAAGTGGACGGGGCTAATGAAGTAAATTAAAGGGGTGTTGGTCACCTGTCCAATCCTCGACCTGTCATTGGATGGTTGCGTTCGAGCGTGTTACTCTTGCTATACTCCCGAGTGCAGGAAACTGTTGCGTGCGCGCGCCGCTCCGAACAAACGTCTGATGTGTGCATGCAAAATTGACGCGACGCGGTCTCTTGCTCTCTGATTGGTGAAGGCCATGGGGGGGGGGGGGGGGGGGCTTGCATTGTTGATTTAGGATTATATGCAATCGTCTTTCCATAAACCTCCGAAATTAAGCTTCGGCTAATGTCGTGATTTGTTGAAACTTGACATTCAAATATATACATTCAATGTACTCTCTCTTTTTTGTCATTCGATTCTAGAATGTCATGTACACCATCATTGGCCAGAACTGCACCAAGTCTGAAGCACGTGGTGACTTCATACAGTGCATTCCAAGTGAGTTAATAAGATTTGAAGGAATTGCGTTGTGAAGTAAGCAATAGGGGTCACGTTGCGGTATATTGCACCGTGTAATAAGAATTCTCGTTTAGGTGAGGGTAGGTGAGTCCAAGTGTTTCACACAGCACCCTTGAATATCCAACTGCTGCAGTCTCAAAAGGACAAGACTCTATAGACCATGTGCCTACGGATTCCAGATTCAATGTGGCAAAATGTATAAGCTGGCGATACCGGTAGGGGTTAGCCCCATAAATGTGGCCAATTTACTGGACTACCTCCGTAAATAAAGGCCACACTTCTACCATGTACAAAAACATGTAGAACTTTGTCAAATTTTGATTTTCACATTTAGGCTTAGTTTGTGGTTTATTTTTGCTTTAGAAGAATACTCACCCTCTTTATGGGCTAATCGGAAAGTGCTGCCTTTTTCAGATGTCTAATTTTCGTGAAATTTCATGTTGACATTTTGATACGCAAACGTGTGCAAACGAATCTGGAAATTTCACAAAAAAATAGACATCTGAACTAGGCAGCACTTTCTGATTAGCCTATAAAGAGGGTGAGTATGCTTCTAAAGAAAAAAGAAACTACAAACTAAGCCTAAATGTGAAAATCAAAATTTGACAAAGTTCGACATGTTTTTGTACATGGTGGAAGTGTGGCCTTTATTTACGACGGTAGTCCAGTAAACTGGCCACATTTATGGGGCTAGCGCTAGGTAGGGGTTGGAAATGAGGCAAGAGAAAATGTGAGCCCACCTTGTGTTTCCTTCAAAAAATAAAAATTCAAGGAAACTGAGCCGAAAAGCAGAGTGTACATGTATATAAGCACTTGCCGACATCGGGTAATTTGTAGAGATACCGTGATGGGTGTCATTTTCTTTCTCAACTTGAATGAAAAGAAAGAAAACAAGTAAGGAAGAAATACCTTCATTTTGTGCACATCTGCAGAGACTGCCCGCTTCGATGGTACCTCCTACATTGGAGACAAGGATCTGATGATAGACTCCTATTCGTTCTTCGAGAATGTGCCCATGGTTTTCACTGGCAATGCCTCTTTGTCCGTCACCCACATGGGCTGCGTCCCGGTGGGCGTTGCGCTGATAGGCACAGCAACCCAGACCTCTCCACGTAAGTGAATCATTAAAGCCACGTAGGATCAAAAGCACCATATACTAAAGATTTTGAGCAATTGGGTCAAGTTCATGTAAACACTAAAATGCACGAAACGCAAACGATCATGCCTTTAACCCTAACCGCCCTGAAATCCGCTTTGCCAAAGTGGAGGAATTTGGAGGATTGAGGTTACATGGCAAAAGTGCATTACTGATTTCGTAGGATGCACTTTGTCAAGGTCTTAATAGGCCGGACCTTGTGTTGTTTTTGCTCAGCCATGCATAGGCCTGGATTATGCTTGAAATCACTGCCGCAGGATTTTGCAGGATTCAGGCAGTGGTCACCCCTCCACGGACCATATTCAAGAAATAATGGAGGAATTCGCAGGATTGAGGCTATATGCTATTTTTCCATGCATGATGCCAGTATTGCAGGATTTTGCAGGATTGAGGCTACATCTTAGCAAAAAGGCCTCGGGAGTTAGGTTAAAACGAAAACGTAAAAGACGTATGTAGAAAAACAAAATGTCGTTGACAATTCCCGGCAGAAACATGAATTAAGGCGCACTGCTGAGTTCAACAGCCTTATTTTTTTTTTTTTTTTTTTTGGGGGGGGGGAGGGTTGCTCGTCTCTTCGTGCCAGAAGATGCTTCGAAATGACGTTGGTGGCTCTCGCCCCCGACCTACTCCCAACACGTAAACAATGTGTGCCGTCATTATGAGTCACTCCTCCACACAAATGCTGCTGTAAAAGCACTGCAAATTTTGACAGAAACAAATGATTTTTTTTGTTGTGCCGACAGCAATCCCGTTGGTCAGTTCCAGCGGATTCTACAACTTCACGAAGGGAATCAGCGATCCAGGGAGGTGGTTCAACGTACCTTCCATCTGCCAACAGGTAGGCCTGCATGTTAACCGTTCTCAGCACACTATCAGTATCACTGTACACCCATATCATTCTCAGTTAAAGGTAGCTATCTAGTGGCAAAATATCAAAATTGATTAAAAAAACATCAATGTGTCTATAGACGAGAGATTCAATTCAAGAAAGATCCCCCACGGTGTAATTTAACAATGCAGTTTTAACAGTGTAGTGTTCAAACACAACACAGCTGTGTGATCAGCACAGGCACGGTAATGTAAAAAAGAATTCAAAAGAACCTAATGTCTGTGTAATACTTTGGCAATAACTCATTTCAGTGGGCCTGACGTACAAAGTAATACGAAGTTCACTTGATTTTATCAAGGATATGCATATACGGGAAAATCTTATTGACTTATCTGACGATCAAAATAATAACCACTAACTGAAGTTAGTGCACAAGGTCCACGCTCGAACAAAAATTAATCACATTCGCGCTTCAAATCCACTAAGCTCCGCCCCATAATGTTTTGACCAATCACAGCCGTGTTTAAAGTCTGACACGCGTGCACGAAATGTTCGTATGACGCGCGCGTCTGTAACAATTAGTGTGGCGTGGCATTGGAGGTTTGTGCAGTGGGCGGGGCTAAAGAGCGCGCGCGACATGAGGTTGCGCGCGCCGCCTATAATATAACTCACAGGATGAGTTTCTTCATTCAAGTGATGCATTCTCTTTTATGTCTTGGCACACAGAGAGGGATCGGCAGATTCCAACGTTCCCCACTTCCGATCTCCGATAATCACAAGGAAGTCATGCAGCTGGTCTCCATCTTCAACTCCGTGATGCTGCCTGCTTTCAAGAAGCAGTAGACGTCAATGACACTAAAATGACAAAAAAAACCTGAAGCGCCCATTCCACGAATAATTGCCCTTGCTTAATCTTTGAGAGAAATTCGTAGTGTGTTAAAAGTTTTAGATCCACAAGGCCTATATAGACTGAAATAATTATGATATAAAGAGAAGTAAATGCGACACGCTGGTAACCAAGAAACTAAAATAGCGTGAGCAAAATACTAAGAAATGCTGAGGGAATTTTTTTTAGGAAAGCTTCCAATAAGCGCATGATTTAGATTTCAACTTAATAATGTAGCTGATTTAAACCTAGGCTTTTGTCTTATTTAACATTTGGATATCTTGACAACCGTGAAATGAATGAAACTTTCAGACCAGGCTGTAGCGTTCTGCATTTTTTTCTTCAATCAAGTATATAAGAATAATAATTCATAAAAATGTTTCGTTCGATTTAGTAAAGTGTTGTGTGATGTAGTGTGTTTGCTTATGTACAATTTTAGTATCCATAAGCTCTGCTTTTATTCATTAAAAGTGATTTGATGATTTTAAAATAGACTTATAAGGTCATTATAAACAGATTAATTTTTTTATAGACTCATGTATTCAGTGAATACCATTAGAAGATGGAAAATGAGTAGATGTGTTAGAAAAGGGTAATCCAAAAACAATGGGTTGATACGTAAATGTCATGAAATTGAAAAATATATTGAAACATTCATGTTAGATAATTTTTAGAATTCGTATGATATGCAAGATTCCATAAAGTTCTGAAAATAGTGTATGCAAATAAAGGAAAGCAATAATTGCAAAACAGTTGGCTTTTAAGAATTGTTTTGAACCATTGAGTAACCCACAAGAAGTGGCCCCATTTGTCATAATGTGCAATTATTGTACCGGTGTCATATGAAATTTGCACTCCATACAATTTGATTTGTTTCACCTTGATGGACTATAACTTGTAACTGTAGTGATTTTGCCCAATGAGCAGCGGCGTAGCTCCGGGTGGGGGGGGGGGCGGCCTGGGGGCACGCCCCCATAAACAAAATCCGCGCCCCCATGTCGTTCCCCCCCCCCCCCACTAGAAAATTTTCAACCGGCAGGAATGCACAGTCCTATGAGTTACCATGATTAGCTGGTTGAACATAAAGTGCCCGTTTCCACGATTTTTTTTGGATTTAGTCACCGAATCCTTTTTTTTTGGCGAGTGGCTGTTTATTTGAACGTCCCGTGGCAAGAAAATGTCGGTATATTGTCTGGCATTTACCAATTATCACGATATCTGTTTTGAACAGCGCCCCCAGATGGTGTCCCCCCCCCCCGGATCTAATTTTACAGAAGTCGAGTGTCCGGTGAAAAAAAAACTCTGTCCACCTTCTTGCTCAATGCTTTAAGCATGGATGAAGTTGCCCCCCCCCCCCCTGTAACATCCATCCGGATAATTATCTTTGATCTCCTCTGGAAATTAATTTTTAATACATAGTACCCCATTAATGAATGTCTGAAACGTTTATGATACTCTATGGCCACCACTGATCTCTATTATTATTGATATCAGTGATGGTCACAACATGCAGTTACCAGCACTGACAGAAAACCAGTGTAACACGTGATGTATCGCTTCAACAACTTAAAAAAAACACACGTAGGCCTGAATCACACGTCGTGTTTTTTTATTCCTCCATGGTTAAGCTTAGTCATATACTTTTAGTTTCATCTCGTGACCATGAACACAACTAACAGCACGTACGTTACTATAATGAAAGCTGGATAAAAGAAAGCACAAAGGTTGAAAGCAAAAGCAAACAATGGCCATTTCCTGTTGATGAGGAAAAGCACTGCATGCATTTTACATTGGTATCTAGTTATTTTCAGTTGTCGATGTTGAGTGTTACCAACAAGATGAGGCCCAGCTCCGTTCTCCGTTTGTTCGCTTTGGTGGCAGCCGCCGCCATCTTGGCTGTAGAAGCAGATAACTATTGCTGCCAAGCACCGCAGTTTGTCATCTCGGCAGGTAATGTTCCATTTTGAACGTTCATGTTTAGGTCTGTTACCACACAGGGTAGGCTATACAGCGTGTCCCAAAAAAATGTCCCTCTCACAGACCACAGAATAATTACCAAAATCAAGTTTTATACTCAATTAAGTTTACATATTTAGAAAGCCCACTTAATTTTGTAGTTCCTGTGAAAATTTCAAAGGTGTCGCTTCATTGGTTTTGAATACACAGGCTTTTATGTAACAGCAGTGCTTTCCGGCCCATTCCAAGTTTGATAAAAAGAAATGCACACTACAGACATACCATACCTTTTTTCGTGCTTCACTTTTATTTCAACAACTGTGTTCTTGTTTTTGTTATTAAGTAACTAAGGCAAGTTCATTTACTTTTTGTATGAAAACTAATCAAAGTTCAGTTCCACTGGTCGTGTTTGCTTTCACAGGGTGTGTTCCACTTATGGTTTGTTCTTCAATGTCCAGCTTGTAAACCTTTATTGTCCTCCTGCACATCCTTCCACCTGCAAACTTGGAATGGGCTTAAAAGCACTGCTGTTACATAATAGACTGTGTATTCAAAACCAATGAAGCGAGACCAATGAAATTTTCACAGAAGTTACAAAATTAAATGGGCTTTTTTAATCTGAACACTAAATTGAGAATAATACTTGATGTTTGAATTAATTTAGCAGTCTATCAGAGGGACATTTTTTTGGGGGACACGCTGTATGTAACACATACTCTATAGACCGCTTGCAGATGCGTTCGATAATCGACGCGCGAAGGCGCGCGACGCCATGTTGTGGGACAGGCGTATATCTACCCATGCACATTTTGTCCCATAACATGGCGTCGTGCACCTTCGCGCGTCAATTATCGATCGCGTCTGCAAGCGGTCTATACCCCACCACCACCATCACTGTAGCATACCCAGCGCTTCATGAAACGGAGATTCGCTACACCGGTGTACCAGTATACACATTTTCAATGGGGAGCGCTGATAAAATCCTACAATCATGCACACTATAATGACCTAATAGTGTACAAAACAAATGCTCCCTTCTCTCACGACTTTTTTTTGGGGGGGTGAGACAATTGGCATGTGACGTCAACGTCTAAAAATTCCTACTGCCATTTTGTATGGAATTTATTTTGGGGTGCTACACACAATTATTTTTGGACGGGGGCCTGGACGTACTACGAACAAAGTTTTAGGCCATTACCCATTTTAAAGCAACTTTCGTTTTTTAAGGCCGGTTCCATATTTTTTTTGACAGAATATAACAATGAGAGAAACAGGAAATGGTAAAAAAAAAGTTCAGAAGCGTGATGACCGGCCACATCATCTGTTAATCAATCTGTTGTTCCATATTTCAGGCCAGATCCAGGGTCTCCAGTTACCCTCCGGCCAAGGAATTGCCCAGCTGAACACCATTGACATGGCCGCAGACTTCACAAATAACAGAGTTGGAGAGGAAATCAACTCTTTTACTTTAGGAAGGCTGACAAAGCTGAAAATCATCATTGACTACAAGAACGTTCGTATTAGACTTCTCTAATCAATCCCCTCCCTAGAAAAAAATCCATTGGTTACCCTATATCTAGACGATGGTCCCGTCATGCCACCTAAGCACATGACCAAACAGATCACGACTGTTGGTCAGGTGACCACATTAACTCGGTCCCAAAGATGTACAAAAGCATAAGTGGGCGGGGCGTGAAATTTCTTTTCACAAACGAGATCGGACAATATCAAAAGAGGGCGCTCTGCGGTATGCATATTCATGATGTCCAGGGAAATTTGAGAATAAGTTATATAACAAGGAATAATAGTGTTTCAACCACCAATGATTGGCAGCCCATTCGTGGACGTTGGAAGAATTCCTGACTTCTAATCAGGTGATCCGAGTTCGAATCTCAGTGAGCATTTTTCAATTCTCATTTTACCTTTTAAATAAGTAAAGTGATGAAGGGCCATTTCTCACAAGACGTAAAGCCTATTTTGGGTTTGTGTTATGGGGAACAAGGCATTAGACATGCATGTAATAAACCAATCAGAAGATGGAAATCGGATGTCGTTTGGGAAAAAAGATTCGCGGGCGGGGCGTATGAAGGTACTGGTGTTGGTCACCTCTCAATCTTCCGACCCCGTACCTGTCATAGGTTTTGCCAAACTCATAATAACCCAAATCCTTTCAACACTTCTGCGTGGCCTCGACAATAATAGTACAATTCAAGTTAGATATCAAAGGACGTATAGCCGATGGCAATCAATATTAATTTGTTTCCCTGTATCAGCAGTTCGCCTGGGCAACGCTCAGAAAGAACGCCGATTGTGTGCATGGCTTATAAAGGTTGTTTATTGGTCGATTGCTGTCAGCTACAGGAGTCACCATCAGTAGACGCCCGCTGATTGGTTACAATATGAAGGTCATTATGGGAAGGCATGGCTTGCATTGTCGAATCGGGATCATTAGACGCTCTTCTTTCGATAAACTGCCAAAGCTCCGGCCAATGTTGTGATTTTTCCTTTAAAACTTGACATGTATATAAAAGTATACTTTTTGGGTGTCGTTCTAGAATGTGATGTACACCATCATCGGCCAAAATTGCACCAAGTCGGAAGCGCGTGGAGACTTCCAGCAGTGCATTCCAAGTGAGTTAATAAGATGTGAAGGTTTGCAGTTGAAGTAAAAGCAATAAGAGTTGGTTTGAGTGTTTCATGCAGCACCCCTGAAAACTCACAACCTTCTGCAATCCGACAAGACTCTGCGTATTGACGTAGGCTAGAGAATCCCGAGCCAATGTGGCAAAGTGTACATGCACACAACGAGACCTGCATTTAGGGACATCCGAACCAAATATAGCCTATTTGGGTTGGGAACCGTGCAAACAAAAGAAAATGAATCCCGAGTTTCTGTCCGAAAAAAATATTCTTTAAATAACCGATCTGGACTTCTTTTAGCATTCCAGAAAAAAAATAGTGAAAAGCGGAAGTTATCAAGACTTGAACCGGTCACTTACAGCTGTAGCTATAGGCCCACATTGTGCATATTCTGGGTGTCATTTTCAACTTGACTTGACAAAAGAGAACAGAAAGGGATTTTAAAAATCTTCATTTTGTAAATCTGTATGTAGCGACTGTCCACTTCGATGCTAGCTTGGGGACAAGGAAATGCTGATAGTAACTGCTCAGTGAAAAAATAACTGCTCTCTAAAAAAAATAACTGCTCAGGAAAAATAATAACTGCTCAGGAAAAAGAAAACAATGCTCTAGAAAATAACTGCTCAGGAAAAAAACAATGCTCTCGAAAGAAAAAGTGTCGGCACTAACGGGCTTTCGTAATAATATACTTTCATTCCATAAGCATGAACATACCCAACAGCACGTAATGGGAAAAGGGCGCAAAGGTTGAAAGCAAAGACAAGCAAAGGCCATTTCCCGCCATTAAGGAAAAGCACTGCATTCATTTTACATTGGTATCTAGCCATTCAGCTGTCGATGCGTTTGTTCGCTTTGGAGGCATCAGCCGCCATTTTGGCTGTAGAGGCAGATAACTATATTGCTGCACAGCACCACAGTTTTTCATCTCGGCAGGTTAAAGTTTCATTTTTAGAAAAAGCTTCATTTTGTATACATCTTCAGAGACTGTCCACTTCGATGCTAGCGCCTACCTGGGGGACAAGGAGCTGCTGATAGACACATACTCGTACTACGATGATGTGCCGAAGACTTTCAGTGGGAACGTCTCCTTATCAGCCACCCACTCGGGCTGCGTCCTGACCGGCGTTTCGGTGATGGGCGCGGCAACCCAGACGCCTCAACGTAAGGG